ATAATAATAATAATAAGGGAGAAATGTGGGATTCACATATAAATCAAGTATAAAAATCAAGTGGATATTCATATTTGACCTGATTGTTTATAGTTCATAATGTGTGATGAAAACTGAAAGTTTCTGTGATGACTGCCCTTGTACTGTTCACTATGTAAGAACTTATTCACTATGTAAGAATTTGTTCACCATGTAAGAACTTGTTCGTTATGCTTCAGAAGATTGGAGACTGACGAGAATTAGGCTTGGGGTGGATTAATGGTTGTACATTGAGCATTGAGTCCCCTATACAGAATTTTATTGTTGTTAACAACCATTTGATCAATAAATATGAGAGATGCCCTCTCAACAACAACAACAAAAAAAAGTTTAACAATATGTACACCACACTATTTATCCTTAGGGGCAGGAAAGTGAAAAGAATTATTTTTCAATGTGCATATTGCTTAATAATTCCTTAAAACCATTAAGTAGTTTTTATCACACAAAATACATGAACACTTATTCATATTATAAAATCAAGGATATAAAAACGTAGCAAGTATTACCTTTTGTTAGATGCATCTCCCACCCTACATATTTTCTCTGTCAGTAAAAGTCAAGGAAAGAATAGCCTAGACATCCATAATTTTTTCATTATATTGCTATCCTTCAGGAATTTATTTATAATCTATTCAAAAGAATTTTCATGTCCAACTAGTTTGGTCTTTCAAGGTAGAGTTTAGAAGATTCACTAAATGTGTGACAAACAATTTGCTTAACACTACTTTTTTCAAGCTAGAATTAATTAGGCCTTAGTAGTCTGAAATTCAGTGAACAAAAGTAAGATTAACCACAACTATATACCATTCATGATTAATTAAAATGAAGTCATATCCTTGTCCACCTTCATTTTTTTCATGCTGAAATGACCTTTTGTTGTTTTGTTTTAAAGGTTGGCATCCTCTGAGGAGTTCTCTGGACTTTGTCTAGTTCTGGCAGAGAATTGTTGGTGTGTGTTTGTTTTCTTTTCAGGTGTAGAACCCCAAATATATACAATCTTCTAGGTCTGGAAACATCATAGTTACCAGGCACAATGATAATATTACACTAATTAATTCCTAACCCACTTCCTGAAAAAAGCTCTACATTCTCTTGCCCTTCCCCATTACAGAACAATTAGTTGGCTTGTGAAACAGTATTTAATGACATCCATATCCCATTTCCAAGAGATAGGTGGAACCTCTTACCCTAAGAGTATTTAAATGACTTCTGCCTCCCAGGTAACCCTATAAGATCTTCCTCCAGTCTTCATCCACTTAGAATATCTAACCAGGATATCTTATGATTATTTGCAAGTGTGTTCTCACACTCAATAAGCCAAGCATTGGTGAATTAGGATCTGGGCATGGACAGTAGTATGGTTTATTACAGCTCAGAGATTTTAAGTGGCTAATTCAGCCTTCTACATCAACTCATTATGTTTTGGGCAAAATATTTAATCTTGCTTCACTTAAGTCTCTTTGTTGATGGAAGTTAGGTGAGGAGGAAAAAGTTATTAAGCTCACAGTAATAAGGATTTCTAGTACATGAAAATATGTACAGCAAACTTATTTCTCAAACTTCAAGCTATCTATACCCCATCTCACTCTCTGAACATTTAAAGAGCTATTATAAGAGCTTCTGCAGCTAGAGGTAGAGCCATTTACACCTCTGCTTCATCATTTCCAAGGCTGAAATTGAATAGAGCAAAGGAGAACTTCTAGAAACAATTGTTGCTTCTCTGATATTTTGTTAAAGAAGAATCCATGTGAAATAATTTTTCATTGATATTTCTCTTATTTCTACAATCTCAGTGGAACTAAAATGTGTAAGCTTTTTATATATTTTATATCTTACACCTTTTATTTTTGTTTTCTACAGCGTGTCCAACAAAAAAAAACATTTTAAAAACAATCATTCTACTGGGGACACATCGTATTTTTAAGAATTCCAGGAAGAATAAAATTAAAATATAGTTTTATGTAGCTTTTAATCCTCATGCTTCATCACTTAATTCATTTTCATAAGTGTATGTACTTCTTAACCTTGACCATAACCTAAAGCTTTAGGCTAAGTTTGATGTCAAAAGTTGGATGCCCTTAGTAGTTAACCAAAATACTCTTGATAATTCAAGATGAGAGATGAGGCCAAACTGTAGAGGAACAGAGAAATCTGGAGACAGTCAGTGATGTGAACAAATGTGTTTGAGGGCAGCTTTATAAAACAGCCATTTATTCCCTGAAACAGCACACTGGATGAGCAGAACAGTAATTGCTAATTTTATTTAGTTTATTATCAGTTAACTATTCTTAAGCTGAGAAAACATTCACTAAAAAAACTCTTTTACTTTTGTTATAATTATCAGAGGCAATGGAATTTACTAATAGTTGAAACCTTGAATATGTTTGTATATGCTTTTAACCACTAACCACTTTCACGTTGAGTGTGCTTTGTGATAGACAGGAGTGGGGCATTTATCCCCGTTTTTTAAAAGAAACTGTGGCAGTGGGAGATAAAGTAGCTATCAGAGGTTCCCCTGGGAAGATCCCAGCTCATCTGTGAGAATCAAAGACATGACTCGGTTTTCCCAAAGCTTCTCTTTTGGAATAAGGCAAAAATGAATGCAGAGTACAGACCTTCAGATTAGACTATTAAACTCTAGACAGCAAGTAAAAGTACCTTTAACCAAGAGTTCTTCCTCATCTTCAGGCACCCCATCCACATGTCCGTCAGTAGCATCTGGGTACAAGTATGTGACACGAAGGGCCGCAGTCCTCCAGACACGGCCAGCTTCAAGCAGGTGGAATTGCTCCAGTTCTTGAGTTCATAGGTCAGCAGTTTCATAGCCATTCTTTCATTCTGCTTGAATGCCTTCTCCAGCACGTCCAGGGCCAGCTGGCCAAACTGTCTGTAATGACACGGTGGTGAGGGGCGGAAACAGGTGCAGGTGAGGGCCCCACAGACATTCAAAAAGATCAGTGACTAGACAGAAAAGACCAAATACCAAAGAGCAAAGGGCAACTGCATAGTCTCAGTTTGCAGAAGCTGTTCTAAAGATTGTTCTCCCTTTCCCTTAAGGAACAGGACTAGAGGGTTTCTGCAATAGCATACAGGATTTGGTCCTCTTTTTTTTTGACCCTTTTTATTGATATAGTTGATGTACAATATTCTATTGGTTTCAAGTATACAACAGAGTGATTTGACTTATATACCATATTAAATCCTCACCCCAATTAGTATATTTATTGTCAGCATAGAAAGATGTTACGGGACCATTGACTATGCTGTACTTTCTTCCCCCTAACTAACTGATATTATGCTTGAGATCTGGGGCCTCTTTATACCCTTCACCTATTCGGCAGTGCCTGAGCTATCTATCCATAGGGAGAAGCCACACCACACCACAAAACAGGCTATATTTAGCTTGGCTAGGAAACTTGCTGATAAGACCTAATAAATACTTTTTTGACAGAAAGACTGTTCAAAACTGAACTAGCAATTAAAGAAAGTTGTAGAAACACTTTTTTGTTTTTAAGATTTTACAAAATACACAGATGACTTAAGCAGGAAGCTAGACCTGCAGACTTTTTCTGGGATTTTCCAGGAAGTTATTTTCTGTAAACAATAGATGCTATCATTCTCTGGAACATTTGAATTGAAATTATAAGTTAGTTTCTACTAACTCTCACTTCCCTTCTTTCCTCATACTATAACACTTTAATAATCAAAAATTCATAAACACTTCTAAATTTTCTATCTTCTACCATCATGCTCTGGTTCTTTAATACATAACACAATCATTTGTTTTCCTGCCTCAGAGGTTACTTAAGGTAAACCATACATTTTAGTTTCATTTAGTATCAAAGAGTTTGAGAACTGCAAGAAACTTTCAAAATCATTAACTGAACATTTTACCATTGAGGAAACTGAAATCCTAAAATCTGGTCAACTGACTTGTAAACAGCTGGATGAGGACTCAAACCCAAGTCTCCTGACTTAAATGCCACCTCTCTTTCCCTTATTCCACAAAGCTCCTTAAAATACCTCAAGACTATTGTTTATAGGAGAATCCATGAACTGCACAGCAACAAGTCCACATGTCTTACAAGTTCTAAGGTGAGGGAGATAAAAGTGTCTAAACATTCTAAGAGACTGTTGATTGTTAGTATGAAGTGAAGAGAGAGCTCCTACTTTGAGTAATTCTTTAGCTCTTCTGAGGTGTCATCCACCATGCTGCTCTCCTTGGCCTCGCGGGCCAGGGCTCGGTAGAGTATACAAGCAATCACGGCCTTAGCTGTGGCCTCTTCTCCATGCTGCCAGAAAAACATGGCCATCCTCTGCCTTTTCATTAGCACAGCCCAAACCAGCAGGTCATTGTAAGGGTAAATAAAGCCAGTAGACTCAGGGTCATCTGATACACTTTTTTCTTCTTTTGACTTCTTCCTTGATTTATGAAGTACCATAGACTTTTCCTGTTGGAAAACAAAATAGGAATGGATTTCCAAATCCTCAGATGCATGATATTCTACCTAGTGAAACACATCAGACATCCTAGAAATGTTTTTTTAAATCACTGTAAAGAGATGGAAATGATTATAAACTTTTATATATCAGAAACCAAAAGTTTGTCCTTTTCAGATAATCTATTTCTTGCTGGATCTAATAGATCCAAGGTCTCTACACTGAAATAACTTACATTCATTAGCACAACTTAAAACGCTACACCTTTGAGTGGACCCACTGACTGCATGGCAACTTTCAATTTCTCAAGGAAATGTGTTGAAATAACACATTGGGTAAATAAGAACTATAAAAAAACTCCAATCTCATTTTACAAATAGATTCATTATCTTCCCCCTAGAAAAATGTCACTAGTGTCACCAATATTCATCCAAACGGATTTGTTTTTAAGTTTCCTTTCCTTTATTCTGATTATATTTTTCTAGTGATGTAATAGGTAATAATGAAATACTACTCTTCAGTTGGGAAACCAACTATCCGCAGCTCACTTCCAATGCCACCCTCAAACCCCCCATGTTCTTTTGCATCACTGTGTATGCATCTCTAATTCAGTGTCCATCATACTGCTCTATGGTTATTACTTTGGGGCAGGTAGGACCATTTTTCAGTCATCATTAGAATATTCTCCAACCCACCTACATCCCAAATGCAACAAAGCACCCAACATAATGTCTGGCAAATAGTAAAATTCAATAATCAATCTTTTTAGTTTAAGGGGACAATAGCAAAATGTACCATCTTCTTCTATTTCTATAAATAACAAAATTGGTATTCATTGATGATGATGAAGGTTAATTTTATAAAATATCTTTTCATTCTAGGAGCTATGGAAAGCAAACTTCCATCAGCAATGTAAGAACCATTTACATGAAAACGCTTGAGCAAAAGCATTCACCCCAGAGGAAAGTGGAATCAAGGCAATATGGGGCGAGGGGAGATAACAACACTGCTCACTTACATTCACACAAATACATTATCATTTTCATACTGTAAGGTCAGGCTACAACGTCAGGGGAAAAAACAGGTGTAAAAGGGCAGTCTGAAAGAGAAGTAAAGGAGGAGGAAGCAGTCACATCCAATTAGCCTTGGGGAAATGGGGACAAAGGTGCAGGGCTAAGCTGATGAGCACATTTTTACTCCCATCCCCTGGACCCTCTTGAGTCGCCCTCTGAAATGGTGGAGCTAGAAACAAGGAAGGCAGCCTGAAGTGCAAGCTCCGGCAGCTGTTAGTTGCCAATACCCTGTCCTGGGCCTTAGCTCATTGTTGCCAGAAGACAGCTGCATTTTGCTTTTGATTTGCATCATCTGTTTATGGTTCTTGCAAATGGTCCCTCTATTTGTATCTCCCTTTCTGCAACGTTAAATGAAGAAATAGTCTCAGTCTGCAAGAATAATTTTATTTTCAAGTATAAAAATAAGTAAATGGTACCTTGAATTTGTAAGGCTGGGCAGTTCTAATAAACTGGGAATGCAGCGTGCTTTCTGCAGATTCATTTCTATTTCCTGAGAGATGTCTCCGGTGAAGAGGGTGCTGAGAAAGGCTTTGAGCAAGACTGGTCACTCGCTGGCATGTTTTTTTTAAGTAAAACAAAAAGTGAAAAGGAAGATTATAGTGGTAACAATTAACATTTTATTTCTAGAGCATATTGAAAACCAAATATAATATTGGGTCTTACCAAATATCCAATGGTTCTCTCATCCATGATTAATAATTATTCACCCATCAAGAGCATCTCATCATCTCCTTGTATTAAGCACACTGTTATTTCCTAACCTCTTAGAGAACATGTTCTTTTGTTCCCTATTATATATAACATGGCCATCCTCTGCCTTTTCATTAGCACAGCCCAAACCAGCAGGTCATTGTAAGGGTAAATAAAGCCAGTAGACTCAGGGTCATCTGATACACTTTTTTCTTCTTTTGACTTCTTCCTTGATTTATGAAGTACCATAGACTTTTCCTGTTGGAAAACAAAATAGGAATGGATTTCCAAATCCTCAGATGCATGATATTCTACCTAGTGAAACACATCAGACATCCTAGAAATGTTTTTTTAAATCACTGTAAAGAGATGGAAATGATTATAAACTTTTATATATCAGAAACCAAAAGTTTGTCCTTTTCAGATAATCTATTTCTTGCTGGATCTAATAGATCCAAGGTCTCTACACTGAAATAACTTACATTCATTAGCACAACTTAAAACGCTACACCTTTGAGTGGACCCACTGACTGCATGGCAACTTTCAATTTCTCAAGGAAATGTGTTGAAATAACACATTGGGTAAATAAGAACTATAAAAAAACTCCAATCTCATTTTACAAATAGATTCATTATCTTCCCCCTAGAAAAATGTCACTAGTGTCACCAATATTCATCCAAACGGATTTGTTTTTAAGTTTCCTTTCCTTTATTCTGATTATATTTTTCTAGTGATGTAATAGGTAATAATGAAATACTACTCTTCAGTTGGGAAACCAACTATCCGCAGCTCACTTCCAATGCCACCCTCAAACCCCCCATGTTCTTTTGCATCACTGTGTATGCATCTCTAATTCAGTGTCCATCATACTGCTCTATGGTTATTACTTTGGGGCAGGTAGGACCATTTTTCAGTCATCATTAGAATATTCTCCAACCCACCTACATCCCAAATGCAACAAAGCACCCAACATAATGTCTGGCAAATAGTAAAATTCAATAATCAATCTTTTTAGTTTAAGGGGACAATAGCAAAATGTACCATCTTCTTCTATTTCTATAAATAACAAAATTGGTATTCATTGATGATGATGAAGGTTAATTTTATAAAATATCTTTTCATTCTAGGAGCTATGGAAAGCAAACTTCCATCAGCAATGTAAGAACCATTTACATGAAAACGCTTGAGCAAAAGCATTCACCCCAGAGGAAAGTGGAATCAAGGCAATATGGGGCGAGGGGAGATAACAACACTGCTCACTTACATTCACACAAATACATTATCATTTTCATACTGTAAGGTCAGGCTACAACGTCAGGGGAAAAAACAGGTGTAAAAGGGCAGTCTGAAAGAGAAGTAAAGGAGGAGGAAGCAGTCACATCCAATTAGCCTTGGGGAAATGGGGACAAAGGTGCAGGGCTAAGCTGATGAGCACATTTTTACTCCCATCCCCTGGACCCTCTTGAGTCGCCCTCTGAAATGGTGGAGCTAGAAACAAGGAAGGCAGCCTGAAGTGCAAGCTCCGGCAGCTGTTAGTTGCCAATACCCTGTCCTGGGCCTTAGCTCATTGTTGCCAGAAGACAGCTGCATTTTGCTTTTGATTTGCATCATCTGTTTATGGTTCTTGCAAATGGTCCCTCTATTTGTATCTCCCTTTCTGCAACGTTAAATGAAGAAATAGTCTCAGTCTGCAAGAATAATTTTATTTTCAAGTATAAAAATAAGTAAATGGTACCTTGAATTTGTAAGGCTGGGCAGTTCTAATAAACTGGGAATGCAGCGTGCTTTCTGCAGATTCATTTCTATTTCCTGAGAGATGTCTCCGGTGAAGAGGGTGCTGAGAAAGGCTTTGAGCAAGACTGGTCACTCGCTGGCATGTTTTTTTTAAGTAAAACAAAAAGTGAAAAGGAAGATTATAGTGGTAACAATTAACATTTTATTTCTAGAGCATATTGAAAACCAAATATAATATTGGGTCTTACCAAATATCCAATGGTTCTCTCATCCATGATTAATAATTATTCACCCATCAAGAGCATCTCATCATCTCCTTGTATTAAGCACACTGTTATTTCCTAACCTCTTAGAGAACATGTTCTTTTGTTCCCTATTATATATCTGCATTCCTTCTCTGTGTGGAAATTCCATTAGAATCCATGGATGTTCTATACTTGGTACAAGCTTAGAATAGCAATAAAGATCCACAGTTTTGATAAGAACAAGTTCCCATTCACAAACAACTCCAAGGTGAAGGTTGAGTTAGAAAGTTATGGAATTTCTTTAGGTGTTATCTAATATCACCACTGGAATTCCCAGTAACAACATAGTTCATTGCCATGAGCACGAAGCTTTCGTCAATGAGAAACAAAAAGAAACATTCTTAGAGGGACTGACATAAAAATTTATGATACAAACCATAAGTTTTGAACTACTTCACTTTTCTTTTAGTTTGTGTTTTATGGATATAAATTAGACATAGAAGTGATGGGGTCCAAGCTTTTTAAAGGTAATGTTCAAATTATTACTATGATACAGAATTAATAGTATCATTACTACTAATCATGACTATTATTATTAACAGTTATGCTATATCCTCTGTGTACTAGGACTATGGGTTTTTCAGATATTATTTAATTTAATCCCCTTGGTGAATTTAGGAAAGGTGTGTTTATATTATCGTTCTCATTTTATAGATGAGGTAACTAACACAGAGAGGTTCAGTTTCTTGCTCAAGATTACACAGCTCATAAGGAGCAAAAACTAAGATTCAGTCCCAATTCTCTCTGACTCCAAACCATGTATTCATGACTGTTACAATCTAATTTACTATGAAACACAATAAACTCTGGCGTCCTTACCTAGAAAACAATCCAAGATATGGGTAGTGACTTCATATCCATTTCTAGAAAGGACGCTAGGAGATCCTGCCTCGCAAGCACCCCAGGGATGCACCAAGGCCACAGTCAGTCCTCAGAGCTGCCGTGTCACCTCATAGCAAGTAATATTTTGCTTAAGTGAAGGAACTGATACCCCAAGTGTATCCCTATGCCTTTGAAATCTCAGAAAAGATCATTTCTATGTGAGATTTGAGTTTCTTTTTGTTCTGTTTTTTCATTTCTTAAAGACGGTTGGGCTTTCACTTCAACAGATGCTTTATAAATGTTCAAAAGTAGTTTGATGTTCTGGACCCTTCATGTGATCTTACTCCAACCTACCTTTCCAGTCTCACTGCTTGCTACCTTCTAGCACTTTCGAGCAGCAAAGGTCTCTGTCAGTTGCACGAACGTAGGCTGACATCCACAGCACTGTGCCTTTCACTGCTCCTGCTCTTCTCTCAACCCCAAATGCCCAAACTATCTTTCTAACCCTTCCACTAGCCTCTCGTAAGAACTAGTCTCTTCAGTTTACTGATCGGTGATGGCAGTTTTCAGAAACAAGGGATGTTTTCTCTGCTAACTGACTAACCAGCAACTGTCATGTTACATTCCTAGACCTTCAAAATATGTACACTGTGCATTTTTCCATTGTACATCCTGTATGCATCTTCCAGTGTAATCCCTACACACTTGCCACAAGTTTGTCATCTCCAGACTATGGACGAGTATGGGTCAGTAGTTCTAGCCCTCTTAAGCTTTTGACTTCTGTATTTTCAAAAGAAAAAGAAAGAGAAGGAAAGAACTGGTCATCTCTTTCTCTAACTTTTCTCATCACCTTATTTCTATGTCAGTAACGCACATTATATCCTGTTTTGCATTATGGCTAGTTACTCATAACTCTGTTTCCCTAAAAATTTCTAAACTCTTGAGCTTTATGTCCATCCCAGGCCAGTGTGCCAGCACTTAGCCCGGTAATTTACATGGAGCAGATACTCAATAAATGCCGATAAATAGAATGCCCATTTTAGAAGCTATTCCCAAATGAACTTTCCCAAGCCATTTTTCTAAATACATAACTCCTAGTTATCCTGAATTTTACTAGGGTCCTTTTCAATTGTGCTACCTTATGTTTTCTGTAGTGGTTATTGTAGAAGGCTCTGAAGCTTTTTCTCGTGTAGCTGCTGCGATATGCTCCACCAATGAGGTATTCTATTACCAGTCCAATGTCAATCAGTGTTACTTTGTAGCCTGAGAGGACAGCGTGCTGAAACAAAAATGTGTAATGAATTACAACTTTCTGTTCTTTTTTCTATCTCTTGCCAGGTCACTAGAATAAAACCCAATCAACTCCCTAAAGAGGCAGACTCATACTTTCCAAACATCTTTACAAATTTATCAATATGACCAGCTATTGATACAATCTGCTCATTCCAATGAAAAACATATTAAGAATAAATATGTTTTTAGTCTTAATATTTTAATATTTAGTCTTAATATGTTTTTAGTTCCACAGATGTCAAATACATGCTTCTATCTGCTCATTTAAATGCTCTTTTTCTCTCTCATGCATACATACACTTTAGAACAGAAACATGTAAATATAGTATAAAAGATTTTTTTTAACTGGAAATAATATAACAACTAGAGCAGCAGTAAAATCCCTGGAGTATATACTGAATGAATATGATCCAAAATTAACATTGAGTTAAACTTTCAGCCTCTCTTGAAATGGCTGCAACACTTTGCGCTGTGTTGACTACATCATGCATAAAACAAGAATATGGAAAGAAGTAGAACCAATAGAAATAAAGAAAATGGAATGGCAGAATGACATGAGATACGGAAACATAAGGCTGTGCCAAGACAAATGCCATGGTTGGAAGGAGGGCTGAGCAGCACATTTCCAAGAACACTGGTCTTGGTCTCAGTGAAAATTATTTTTGACCCCTTAAAACCTGCCATCCCCCTCTCTGTTACTTCTGAACTACTGTTCAAGATACAGAGTGCGGAACAAGATCTTTGAAATGAACAGACTGTGAATAGTGTTCACAAAGCTTTGAACCATAAATGAGGTTTTATATATATATGTAAGTGATTTAATCTTTCTTTTTGACACTCATAATTCACTTCTTTCAAAGAACACTAAAATGCTCTTCTTTGCTGCTGGTCAAAAAAGTATAGTTAACCTATTTCATTCCTTTTTCTTCAGTTTACTGTGATAGGATTGGAGTTTAAGGAAATAAATCTAAGGAAAATCATTTTGACCTAGCATAAATCATACAAACTACATTTACATCACTTCTACTTCTACTTACTGCTAATTTGCCAACTAGATGTCTTCCCCACAGTCATTTCACTCTGACTCACCCACCAAGTCAACAAAACCGAAAAGGCCACACTCTCTCATCAGAACCGTAGCCTTCAGAAAAATGAGGGGAAGACTTCCAAAATGTGCTGTGGATTGATTTTAATCACAATGGCAAAGGAGGAACTCCCAGCTTTCTGCAGATGTGAATAAAAGTTCTTGGTATTTAAAAGGGAAGGAATTAAGGCATGAAAGTCTGCTGAAGTTGAGATAACTACCGGGAGATTTTAAGTCTGACTTAACTCTAAGTTTAATGAGAACACCATAAGCAAAAGACGAGCAAGGGTACGGAACAGGGGGCTTCATCCTGGCTCTCTAGAACAACACTCAGGCTCACAAAGAAATGACAGAGCCCTTGAATCATTCTTAGGAGTCAAAACAACAATAATAAAACAGTGGAAATCACACATTGGTCCTCAGATAAAGACAACAGAACCAGTGAGTTTCTTCTCGGCAGTTGTAGTTATCTTCACTGGCAATACTGTTGTATCGTGTCAAGCTGAAGCTGTGATTGGAGGTTTTGTACACCTCCAGTTCATATTTTAAAAGAGGAAATAGTTTCTTCATGAATGCCACATACTAAGTGGATCAAATCTTTAAAAACATAAAATAAATTACAAGAAAAATGTAAGAGTGTGGTTTGGTGATGAAATGATTCAGAGTCATAGTTTAAGAGGGTAGGTACTTCACTAGAAAATATAAATCTAGATTTAAAAAGCAAAATTACCTGTTTTACATCTCGGACAAGATGATGCAAGAGCATATTAGTAGGTCCTTGTTTCTGTAATAAAGGACAAAAGGAAGAGTTATTCCTTTTAATTACCATGTGCTAGAAAGGAAAAAAGCCTTTATTTCAGAATGCATAAATAACTCAGAATATTGAAAATATTCTCCAATGTCTTTGGTAATGAAGCTTATACCAAATTAACATTAAGTGAGGTATTTCCCAAAATAAGATGTAATTATATGAAATATTTTTCAAAGCCAGATGTATGTAGGTAGTAAGGATTTAACTATATATTTTTTGAAGCAGAAGTATTTTTTGAGTAATTTACAAATATCTTTTATCATATATATAACATACACCATTATATTCCATCAACAAATATTTATTGAACACTTATTATGTTCAATCAAGCTTTTGAGGAATTCAGGGAAGAATATAAGAACTTTGTTCATAGAATTTATACAGTCTAATAGAAGAGAATGGAGATTCACATGAAAAAATAACAATATGAAGATGTTCACACATCAAAAAGAGATACAAATAGTTTATAGTACAGGGACAGCTCACTGTGAACTGGAGTATTCAAGAAGCCAGGATTTGAATAGAATTTCGAAGACAGAGTAAGATTCAAAGGACAAAGAAAGTCACTTCAAGAAAGGTACATAGCTTGAGCAACTAACTGGTATTTATACAGTGAGTAAGCCAGTCTAGTTTCAAGAAAGGGTATGCAGGAACAGAATTTCTTTTTTATTAAGGTATCACTGAAATACAATCTTATGAAGGTTTCACATGAGCAACATTGTGGTTACTACATTCACCCGTATTATTGAGTCCCCACACACACCCCATTGCAGTCACTGTCCATCAACGTAGTAAGATGCTACAGAGTCACTAATTGTCTTCTCTGTGCTATACTGTTTTCTCCATGACCCCCCTACATTATGTGTGTTAATCATAAGGCCCCTTAATACCCTCTCTACCCACCTTCCCCTCCGTCTTCCCTTTAGTAACCTCTAGTCCCTTCTTGGAATCTATGAGTCTGCTGCTGTTTTGTTCCTTCAGTTTTCCTTTGTTGTTACACTACCAAATGAGTGAAATCATTTGCTACTTGTCTTTGTCTGCCTGGCTTATTTCACTGAGCATAATATCCCCCAGCTCCATCCATGTTGTTGCAAATGGTAGGATTTGTTTTATTTTATGGTGAATAGTATTCCATTGTGTATATGTACCATATCTTCCTTATCCATTCATCTACTCATGGACACTTAGGTTGCTTCCATAGCTTGGCGATTGTAAATAGGGCTGCAATAAACATAGGGGTTCATGTCTTTTTGAATCTGGGATATTGTTTTCTTCAGATAAATTCCTAGGAGTGGAATTCTTGGGTCAAATGGTATTTCTATTTTTAGTTTTTTGAGGAACCTCCATATTGCATCCCACAATGGTTGAACTAATTTACATTCCCACCAACAGTGTAGGAGGGTTGGAACAGAATTTTAACAGTAGTGTTAAGTAGAGGTATTTCCAATAACTCTATCAGCAGGCTTCTCAGCAGAAACTCTTCAGGCCAGAAGGGAGTGGCATGATATACTTACTGTACTGAAATGGAAGGACCTTCAACCAAGAATCCTTTACCCAGTGAGATTATCATTTAAATTTGAGGCAGGGATTAAACAATTCCCAGATAAACAAAAGTTGAAGGAATTCACCACCACTAAGCCAGCCTTACAGGATATGTTAAAGGGACTGCTGCAGATGGAAATGACCCTAAGGGTAAATAGCTCTCACTAGTGAAAATACACCCACAGTAAAGGTAGTAGCCCAAGTAAATACCAAGCAAGTATGAGATTAAAACAAAACAAAGGAAGCAAAATCAACTATGCATGAAATCAGTCAAGGGATACACAAAAAGTGTAGATTATGACATCTAATATGAAAAATGTGGAGGAGGAAGAAGGAAAAAAAAAGTTCCTTGAGATTGTGTTTAAAATAGAGTAATTAGCAATTTAAGGTAGACTATTATATAGTAAAGAAGCTATTCTTGAGTCTTTGGTAACACAAAACTAAAGCCTATAATAAATACACACAAAAATAAATAAATTTTAAAAAGAGAAATCCACTTACAACACTAAAGAAAACCATCAATAACAACAGAAGAATATAAAAGATGAAGAAAGGAACAAAAAGGAGATATAAAAAACAGCAGAAAAAAATTAATAAAATGGCAATAAGTACATACCTATCAATAATCCCCTAAATATAAATGGACTAAATGCACCAATCAAAAGACGTAGAGTTACAGAATGGATTAAAAAACAAGACCCATCTATATGCTGCCTACAAGAGATTCACCTCAAACCCAAAGACATACACAGGCTACAAGTGAAGGGATGGAAAAAGATGTTTTATGCTAATAATAGGTAGAAAAAAGCTGGAGTAGCAGTACTTATATCAGAAAAAGTTTATTTCAAAACAAAGACCATAACAAGAGACAAAGAAGGACATTACATAATGACAAAGGGATCAGTTCAACAAGAGGATATAACCAAATTTCTAGGCACCCAGTACAGGACACCTAAATATGTGAAATAAATCCTAACAGAATTAAACGGGGAAATAGATTGCAACACATCCATTTAAGGAGATAGCTCTAATAACTCCATAAAAGCATATTGTTCTTTTCACATCTTTGGCTTTAATTATGGTCTTACTACCATATTTTCTTAAATTAGTTTATGCTTCTATTCTGTGTAATTAATTAAAATGGGAAATGCAGAAATGACTGTAGGATAAAATGGTTTTGGTAAGGATGTTCTCCTTTGGTTGAATAGTGTCTTGCTGTAAGTTGTCTTTGTACATGAATATTTAAGGAGACTTGAACATTTAATTTATTAAGGTAATTAATAAATCACTCTTAAGGGAGGTGATTGGTGAAATGTTCCAATACTCACTGTATTATAGAGCTCTTCCAGTCGGGGGATAGTAAGAAAGCGATGCAGGTTCACTCCATATTCTATTAAAAGCTTCACAAAATCTACTCGATCCATTACTAAAGCATCTAACATTGCTTGTTCCAGTGAGCCAGGCTGCAGAGGGTATAAATAAACAAGAGATATAGAGACAATTAAGAAAGTAAAAATAATCAGAGTTACATGTATTTGAACTTAGAACTATATAGACACAATAATCATAAACTCTAAGAAATCTTCAGGACCTAAGTAAAGAAATAAAAAGGGAACTTAAAGGCATAAAAGACACCTTTAATGAATCTGTTCTTGGAGAAGAAGACTGACTATTATAAGGATCTCAATGCTTCCCAAATTATTGTATAATATAATGCAATTCTTATAAAATCCAAGGTTTGTTTGTTGCTGTTTTTGGTAACCTGGCATGTTTCTACTTAAAATATACCTGGTTTCTGAATATAAAGGGCAAATTAAACACACTCACCTACTTCACTCCTACCTAAAACTTCATTAAAATTGTAGCAAAGGGATTTTTAAAAAAAAGGAATGAATGAATCTATAACAACAAGGAGGTCAAGTGTGGGCAGCACTTCGGAAGTTTGAATGTAGATGGTCAAGCGGTAATTGTCCCCTTTCTTAGCAGTCCCCAAAAAGCCAGAAAGTAAAAGTCCCAAGAAATTGAAATTGGAAAAAGCTAAGAACCAAACAAATCTATACCACAGAATTCTGGTGGCGCCAGGATAAAATAACTGTACACCTGCTGAATTCCTAATGCTGGGACTTTCCCAATCATCTGGCCCCACGGACTACGATAACACCAGCAACAAGGCTTTTTTACCTTTCAGGCAGGGCATTGGAGGACTCTCTTCTGATAATGTGATAACAGAAGAGAAGAGATATAAATATGCTGACATTTCAGGTCCCTCAACAAATGGCAGCCAAATCACCCCACTGTGAAACCCAAATCTATGGTCAAGCTCCACCTACAGGTTCATAATTTCTAATGAGCTTTCTATGCTCCATGCTTAAGAAAAAAGCACAGAACAAACAGACCATGAAATATCAATTAAGAGGAATCAGACAGTGTGGGGAGAAGCACTATAGGTAGTATCTTCAGAGAGAAAAATGAAGACATGTGTTCAGGATGGTATGGGGGGGCAGTTAAAGGTCAGTAAAAGAACAAATTTGCTCTTAGAAATGAATATATGCTACCAGGAATAAAGAGCTCCATAAGAGGCATGAAAATTAAAGGTGGAGAAATCTACCAAAGAAAAGATACGAAAAATAAAAGGAAAAAGATAACATGAGAGGAGCACTCCATAGGTCCAACATTTTAATGAGACAAATTACAAAAAGAGAACAGAGAAAACAGGGAGGGAAATTCCCCAACATGGAGACACCTGCTGTGCCCAGCATATGGATATTAAGACTCACAATAGCACGCATCATTGTGAAATCTCAGACTGAAGAAGATTTTTTTTAAACATCCAGAGAGGAAAAAAGTGGTCACAAAGGATCAGAAAACAGATTTTTACTTCTCCACAGCAATGGTGGGAACTGGAAGCTAGGCATTCAACATTCTTGAGGAAAATCATTCCTCCAATCTTTAAAATATATCCGAATTTATAGGTACTCAAAATACTCATCTTCCATATTCCCTTTCTTGGAAAGGCACTGAAGGATGCACACCATCAAAATAAAGGCATGAGCCAAGGAAGGGGAAAACACGGGGTGCAGAAAACAGGCACTCGAACAGAGGAGAGAGGCAAAGGATGCCCCCAGCATGATAAAGGTAGGTCCCCGTATGAGAGCCCAGCACCAGGAACAGCAGGCAGCCGCCCAGACGCCGCAGTGAGGGCCACAGACAGAAATGCTCTAAGGTTTCTAAAATTAATGAATCAGAAAACAGCAGTATAGCTTGTTATTTAGAAATATGGAGATTTTTTTAAATGTTAGAGGATTCAAAAAATGTCTGAAGTACTTGGCTCTTATTAGCAGGGCAGGGAACTACTGTTTTTTAATAGCTTTTTGGTCCCATTGCGTGTTTTATGCAATGCATATGTGTTAGTTTGACTCAAAAATAATACACCTGCGATATGGTCATATTTGTCATTTCAAAAAATGAAATATTAATAGTGATTATCATTGGCACTATAGGTGATCTGTCTTCTTTCTGCTTCTCTCTGTTTTCATATATTTTTATTGTGACTGCATATTACATTTTAATGCAAAAAAATAAGAAAAACTTTGTTTTAAGTAACAATATAAAAATCTGCCCATTCAAAAAATAAAATAAAATATTCTTCCATTCTGTCTTTCTCCCATCATCCTTTGTCATCTTCAATTATGCTGCAGAGCCAGAGAAAAACATATTTTCAGGGAGGCAAAGTTGATGAGAGAAATTCCTTAGCTATCTCTGGGCACCTAGCTACAGATGGCACCCCCACACCATCCCAAACCAATCTGTCTCTCCTCCAATTTTGTCTTTTTCCCCTTCCTAACAAATCAACACACAAAATATTTTTTCCAAGTAACTTCATTTTTGCTATACCTTCCAATGTTGTCCATAAATTAGAATATGTTTCTTGGCAATGTCCATTCTATCCCAAGCCATTGCTAGATTTAATTGCTCAGATGCTGATAAATTTGTGCCTAGGGTAAAAGAAAGGAACAATTATATATCCTATTTAAAATATCAACATAAAAAGTCACATTCCATAGAATATGAAGTAAGGAACAGTTCTGACCCTATTTGTACACTCACCCTTTAGCAGAGCTGTCAGGATTGCTAAATCAAGGTCTTGTGACTCCTCAGAATCAGCATCAAATATGGTGATCTACAACAGGTGAAAAGCAGAAGGCCAGACATTTTGGGAACTCACAAAGAAACACTTTCAAAAATACCCACAAAATTCACTCTTGATTCAATGAACTGAGGAAAATATGCTTCACTAATGTCAAGAACCACAGGGTTTTTTTGTTTTTTATTTTTATTTTTTTACATATAGCAGAAAAAAATATTTTAAGTAGGGTAATGGAGAATTGAGTTTTTAAAAATATTTAAGTAGGTCCTCAGAAAAAAAAGAAAAACTGAAAAACTCCAAACATCCTAGAGGAGACATATATGAAAGAACATTACTACTACATTAATGTACTATGCACATGCAATAATGAAATACAAAAATCACTCCTCCTTTAGAAGGGATACCAATGCGATCCTTCTGTTCACCTACCCTTAGCAATTAAGACTTTTACTTTTTCATGAGAAATGAATCCTCAAGCATTTGTCAAAATATAAGTGAGAAAATTACTCTGCAGCCAATGAGCAAGTACAATGGACAGCACACATGGTTTCACAACATCAGTGTCCAGGGCATCCTGGCATGCGATTGATTTTCTTTTTCTTAAGACAAATAAGGCTTTATTTATGGTTTCAAAAGGTTGCCTGCTCTTATTGAATGGATATTAGTCTCTCTAAATGAAAACATATTTTATAGAGTAGAGAGGACTATTCAACAAAAAAGAGCCAAGCCTGGCAAGTTATAGCCCCAGATATGCCACTAACTAATCAGCCTTCGGGAAATAGCAAGGCTGAAGGCCACTGAATCTCAGGTTCCTCATTCACAAGATGAGAAGAGCCCGATAAATAATCTCTCAGGTCCCATAAAGATAGGAAAACTATGCTTCTGTAATTTACATTTTGCTTCCCTCCTCCTCCAGCCCGTCCATGTGCATCAATAAAATCAACTCAGTTGTACAGGAGCTGAGAATCTAATTTCCGAAATGTGCCGGCCCTTAGCTGCCTTCTCGAATCGCTTCTTGATCTTTACATTGCTCCTTAGTTATTATCCTTGTCGACAGAAAGAGACAAATATAAGGACTATCTCTTTAACCTGTCCTTTTCTTTACTTATTGATTATTCTGGGAAATATAAAATGTAGTAGACCATGCACAAGAGTTCAGCTCTGAATTCAGGTTTCAGTTCTACCATTTTGTAACTGCAGGACTCTGAGCAAATCACTTAAATTCTCTAGGCTTCCACTTTGTCATCTCTGAAACTGAAATAGCCAATCACTGCCATATTGAAAACTCACTCATGGGACTATTTCAAGTGAAAAAAATATATATTTGAAAGCAGTGCTAACTGGCGACATGGCTGTTATTTTTGTTGTTACTAGGTCAACTGCAATCCCAAGGTGTTCACATATGTGCAGCCCTGCTTTGTCTAGCCTAAACGTGTTCAGTTGGTTTTTTGAGACCAGGTGCTTAAATATACCAAAACTTTGGATGATTTGGCCCAGCCTTCAAATTCTGGAAAGATCACTGTGAATCATGACATACTGCATGTTTACTATAATTGTCAGCTTCATATCACCCAAGTCGTTGATAAAAATTTGGATCAAAGTACCCTAAAACGCTAACATCTTTTCCTGAATCTATATCATGTCCATAATTTGTAGCCTCCAATTTTCATCTCAGAAAACATTCTCACATTTCCCATTGTCCAGTGAATCCCCGATAACCTCCTGCAGGGTCTACTCAGGACACTGTGATGTGACCACCTAAGCCAGAAGACTGGAATTCACTTAAGACACGGAGCTGTTTCTTTAATCTCTCAGTTAATATAAAAATATTTATGCATAATTTTCACTAAATTTGATCATCTTCCTATAATACTGCTATAATATCTAAGTGCTTTTTCCCAGGTACACACTGGAATTTGAAGCATTGTGGGGGCAGGGGTGGGTGGTAAGAAACCAAGTTTACTCAACCAAAGGTCAAGGTGTATAGTTATTTATAATCAAGTTAAGATTTAAAAACTCCTTTATTTTAAAAATTATGGAAATAAATAATAATTGGGAGTTAGCATTTTTTTAGTGGAGTCATCAACTCATACTCACAGAATCCCTGTGCATCATACACTCCATTAAAATTTGAAACAGGTGCTTGGATTGTTTAAGACTAAAGTTGAAAGTGTTCTGAATCATGCAGATGATCTCCTCCTTCATCTGAGGACGCAGGGTCCTGGGAAAGAAAGAAATGGTCATGACTTGACACAATGCAGAGTAGGGAACAAGCCAGGAACATCGGCACAAGACCATCCATCTGCCCCCTCTGAGAGGTTTCTATGGACAGTTCTGCCAAGAGAGCAAATGAGCAGGAAGCAAAGGGAAAAAGTGGAACCAGAAGCAGGCTAAACTTTAAAGCAAGAGCACACTGAAATGCCATGGTCCTGGAAAGAATGCACTTGGGGGCAAGGTTCTTGAGCTGATGAATTTCCAGGGGGCTGTGAATCTCTAGAAATTCTGAGCATCATATTCTCAAAGAATCTGAAACTTCAAAAAAGATTAAGAACCACTTATCTAGGGAGACTTTAGGAAAAAGAAGGGTGTGAAAGGATAAGGAAGGAGGCAGAGGGTGGCAGTTGAGGCTGACCAGAAAGGTGAGAGAAATTCTAAGAGTTGTCAGAGAGCAGTTATAACATAAAGCAGTGAATAAATGTTTACGTAGATTAGTGGGTTCAATATTTTAGTGCGTAGACACTGTATTTACTTATATAGCAGAAATATCATGCTTTTAAAATTGGAAGAATCACACTAAATTATAGTTTTTCTCTACAGAGAAAACTATTTTATTTGAAAAGGGGAAAGAATTAAAACCTCAACTAAGCACAGCATATACTATATAAACGCCAGGGTGTCAGTTTCCCCAATTCCTGCTATTTTTACTAACAGCAGATGAATCTGAAGACAATCTGGGGCCAATACAGGTCTGCACGGTTTTTTCATCTATAATGACCAAATTGCATGAGCATCCCATCTGTCTCTCCCCCTGGAAATGCTTTTTACCGAAGCTCAGACAAGGCTCAAACCCAAGGCCATTCTTCAGCTAAGGAAATAGCAATTTGCATCACGGCGGGTATTTTGGTGTTCAATAACAAATATAAAAATCACTGAACATCAACCTTTGTCCCCCAAGGATAGCAGGCCCACGTAAAAGCAGAGCTTAAAGAACTAAAAGGGAAAAATCTGTAGTCACCAGTTTTAAAAATGAGGGTCCAGCAACTCACCCTTCATCTGCCAGGTGTTTGTGGGTGAAGGCCAGGAGGTCGGCCGCCCGGCCCGTGCCTTCACACACCACCACGGGGTCTTCGTCCTTCACCGTCTCCCACACGGAGAGGATGACATTGGGGCCCCCTTCCACCACCAGCCCGACCACGGGCACGCCTTGCCCCGAGCCTTTTTCAGATGGCAAACAAGAGCAAACTGTTACAAAGGAACCCCATCTCGGCCAATCAGCCGTTTGTATTTCCCGGACACAAGTCTTTCAGTTACCACATATATTCGTCAAGACCAAGCCTGAAGCTTGGCCTTAAATAAAAGTAGCATAAATACAGGGACAGCATCTTCAAGCTTGCTGCTGCTAAAGAGAAAGCTAAAGGCTCTCAGTAATTAAAAAAAAAAAGAAAGGTAGTCTTCAAGAAATTTCAACATTTCTTGTGGAAAATTTGAAACATGTCTAAAAGAAAACAGAATGACATAATGGATCCCCATGAATCCATCACTCATCTCCAAGAATAATCAAGTGTTTGCTAATTCAATCAACTTTTCATCGTGATTGTTTCTAAGAACAAGATGGGACAGGTAACACCCAAAGACTTTTACATTTGGATTTATTCCATTTTTCACTGTTACTTTCTTACCATGACTGTATATTTATTAAAATAAGGAATACAAAAAAAAAGGAAAAACTGTGAAACCATTCTTTTTAATAAGATATTAAATGAAATAAAGTTACAGGATGCTATGTACATTATGGTGCTATTATATATTTTGAAACACTATACCTGAGTATATATTGTAGATAGACAGATAAATACATAGATAGATAGATAGATAGATAGATAGATAGATAGATAGATAGATAGATATGCACACACATACATACATACGTAGAAACATAGATAGATCATGTTAAATAAGTGATCAGAAAATTGTGAAAGGATATACATCAAACTGTTAATAGTGGAGAAGAGAAGAGAAGATCCGGGTAAATTTGAGAAGGGATTTTGACTGTTTATAGATTTCTACTTGATTGAACTCTTACACCACACAGATATTAATATATTTAAACAAGTATTTTTATTTTATCTATCAAAATAAGAAAAATTGGTAAGCAATATCACACTAACACCAGAGCAGCAGAGGACTTTATTCTGGGCCCCATGTTTTATGGGGCCTATGTCTAGCCATGCCCCACCCTTCACAGTGCACCGTGAAGAGTCTATAGAGCCAGTGGTTAAGGGAAGCCTGTGCCCGCTCCTCTACTTGCAGAATGCCATGGACCCCAAATTTCCTGCTTCCAGGGACTGCCTGAGCCTCTGCCCCATGTATGTCCTCCCCAAGTCCCTACTTGCCAAAGTAAGAGGTGGCTTTGTGGGGTAGTGGAGAGGTGGATAGGTTTGGACATACAGGCGGGGGTATCCAGGTGACCACCTGTACGTGAGGCCACTGGCATAGCAGGACTGAGGCAAGGGCAGGAGGAGAAGCAGAGAGCAGGCTAGAGGGCAGGCCGCAGTGCTGGCTCTGCCTCACCCCCACATTCCAGCTCAGGGCTTCCCCAAATCCAAGATTCTAAACTCAAACCTGGCCTTCCAGCTATGTGTGCAAAGGTGAGAGCATAGAACATTACGCAGTTTGTTAGCTTGATTTAAATACGTGAATATAGTCTATGGGTAACTCGTGAATCCTTGTCTTGGACTTAGATGTTAGGGGTGTGCCTGTTGGCAGGCACCCAAATACTTCATTCGGTCTGTTTAACTGCTTTGCACTTCTACTTCCTTTCCTTTTCCATATACCTCCACCTCCTCGTTACGTCTCCTGATCACGAAAACATGAATCTAAGATATACCAATTGATAGTCAAAGGACTCATCTAATAATATGGTCTTAAGAAAGCTAAATGAAATGGAGAAAATGGTATATTAATGCATAAAATTAATAAATAAAATTTAGAAAATATTTCATTAATCATGGAATTATTGAAATGGAAAAAACTTTGATAAGAGATTTCTCACATTCTATATAATAAAATACTAAGTAGCCATTAAAGACATGTTAATTATGCCATTTGATGTGCAAATACATCCATGATTAGCTGTGGAAAGAGGAAACTACAAAAGCATGGAGATTATATGATCCCAGTGTTCATTTTAAAAACATTGCTCTGTGTGTGTGTGTGTGTGTGTGTGTGTGTGTGTGTGTGTGTGTGTGTGTATAGAAAATTACTGAGAACATATGTATGAAAAAATCAGCAATGGTTAGTTCTTGTTAGTGAGATTTTGGAAAATTCACTCCTCTTCCTCTTACACACTTTCTTTGTTTTACCTGAATATAAAAGTATATTACACTTCTATCATCAGAAAAAGAAATCAATAAAGGTGTTTTGTGGGAGAAAGAGAGAACTCAATCAATAGGGTGTTTTGTGGGAGAAAGACCTTCTGTGAGATCCATCTTTTCCTGAAGTAATATCTAATCACACAAAAATAACTATATTTATGATTGTTTTCTCCAAAAGATTTTACTGATGCTACTAATTACATTTGTTAAAAAAAAAAAAAGGATTATAAAGATCTTGCTGAAAAATCACACTAGAGAGAGAGCTCTATTCCTGGCTCCCAGGTTAAGCAGGAATATGATATTACACCTCCAAATCAAACACTCCTACAACAGACATCCTGGGAAAGGGCACTTCTGCTCCACTGAGACTTGGACTATGAAGAGATGTGGAGGCATCTGATCCACACTTTCTATCCTCAGAGGCTTACAGAACAGGAAGTAATACTGGCCACATTTCAAATGGCTGAACCCAGGGATTCCTATACAACTTTATGAAGTAAGGCTTTTTCTGTTAACTACCCTAGCCAACATCAAGGACTACTCAGGGATTCCAAGAAGTCCAGCTGAGAAATAAATGAAAGAAATTAACAAAATATCTAAGTGTTTTTATCCCATCCAAGTAAATCCCTTTTTAACCAAAAAAAATGGTAGAAAGCCTCCCTAGTGAGCGTGGAAGGTATGAAGATTAGTTAATACATAAGAATTTCGGGCTTGTTGGGGACTTTTTCTTATATCTTTTCTTCCTTCCTTCCCATCCTTTTCCTGTGTGTGTGTGTGTGTGTGTGTGTTGTGTAGGTGGTTTATTGTTTTTGCTCTTGTCATATTGGTTCTCCTTAGAATAATAAATGTTACCAACACACTGGAATTAACTCCACACTCTTTCTCACAGACAGTGAAACCCTACAAATAAATCCTAAATTTTAATATCTTTGGAAATATAAATGTCATTTGCAGTTACATGCAAGCTCCTCCACAAACAGAGAATCAAATCAGCAGGAAACAAGAAAGACAAAGGCTTTCCTCTTCTGGCACTCAAATTACAGTGCTGCCTGGACCCCTGAACAGTTTCTGTGATGAGCTCAGGTCAGCAGAGGCAGCTGGGCTTTTCAGGTGGCACATCTGACCCCTACCCGGGCCCTGCCCGCCAGGAATCCGCTGCAGGCTATCTGACCTGCCCTCGTCTCCCCTCCGTGCTTCCCCTCCTCTGTCCTTCCCACTCACAGAGGACCACACGCATGATTCTCTCCCCGTTCCCCACCTAGATGAACCTCCAGCCTTCATTCACCCTAAGTTCTAAGTAACTGGCAACAATTCCCAGAGTCCCACCTGCACCCACCACCCCAACAGGGAAATATCATCTGTACCAAAGGAAGATGAAGAAGAAAGAAACAGACGTTGATGGAGGCCGTGCCATGCACCCGACATGTTCCAGGCACAGCTACCATCCTTTGTCTCAGTTCTCACCATGAAAGGCAGGAGGAGTAGCTAGTTCCTTCCCTTTCATATTAAGAAAATTGTTTAAGAGATATTGACTCCTTTACCCAAGGTCACAGGCAGGAAATGAACTGTCTGACCTGGCTACATTCTGCGTCCTCAGGACATCACAGCCAAAAACTCAAAGGACATTTAGCATTTCCAGCCAAAAGTCAATGGTTGAAGACAACTCACCCCTTACCCCAAGGGCCTTCCCTGCTCCCTGGCCCTCTGCCTCAAAGAGTAGGAGTATTTTTGGAAGATGTGACTCATCAAAAGAGGCAGGGGCCCATTTTCTGCTACCTGGGATGAAAATTCTCCATTTCTCCAGGTAGCCCCCAGCCCCAGCTCCTCCCAGTAAGGGTTCCCACCTCTCCACTCACGGATGCTCATTGACTCCCGCGCTCCCCATCCCCTCCCTCCTGCAGGAGAGGCCATCTCAAAGCCCCACTGCCAACAGGACACTAACACTGACACCTCCAAAGGCCCCCACCTCTCAAAGTCCTGTCTGGTTTCTCATCCTTTTCTGTCCAGGGCCAAGCCACCCATGTGTGAAATGCCACCTTCTCTAATGGAGCTCATATCTTGACTCTTCTCTGGCCAGTCTCTTTACTGCTCCTCAGCCATTCCCATCCCTGGGTCAATACTTCTCCTCCTCTTTCCCTGCATCCAACGGACCCTAAGGACTCCTGGAAGCTCTGCTAAAGTCCCCACTCTTCCCACAAACCCCCCCTGACCACAATGTCCCCTAAAGTTTTCTTCCCCTCTCCTGACCACCGCCCACAATTCTGCACCACTTTCCATCCTGCTTTCTTCCAGCTGTGTGTTCACACAGGTTCATTTCAGGCAGGGGCCGGCTTGGACCTCTACACTCTGCAGATCACAATGGAGCCCCTTGCTTCACAGCAGGGCCCCAGCATACTCACTGCTGTGTATTTTCTGCAGAGAGAGGTACTTCTCCAGGTTCCTCCTGAGTTTCATCTCATTTCCATACTTTCCCAGGGTCCCATCATCAGACAGGATGAAGTGGGAGTGCATGCTGTTGAGTGTGGTGAGCTTGCTGAGGGGGTTGCCCAGTATCTGGTACAGGCACACAACCTGCAAGACAGTGAGGATGAGGGAGGGTCAGAGCTGCAGGTACTTCCCCAGGCTCAGCTGCGCCAAAGGTCGCTATGCGCTAAGAGTTCCTGTCAGGGTTACTAAGTACTACTTGCTACCTAGAGCAGTGCTTCTCAAGCCATTACGGTGAAGGATCCGTTTGGTTTCTGCAAATTTCCCATATTTACAGCAGATGTGTGGTCACACAATGCCTGACTAGTATGCAGCTTGTACTACAGGAGGCTCGTGATGCAAGTTCCACGATGACGGCACACACCGTGATCAGCCAGACAAGCCCACGGGCCCTAGGCTTGTATGTCACAGCGCTGTCATGCTGCTAAAACTGGTTCTAGATATGTATTTCCAATTTCTGTACTTACCTCAAGGATCATTAAAAGACAGCTCAAGAATCCACATCGGCATAAAGGTTACATCATTGTCCACAAAATATGCCTTTTAATGCATCTGTTCCAGTATAATATTTTGACACTGATGTTTTTTTCTAGTATTCCAGATGAAATGAAGAGTAACAGCCAAACAACCAAATGGAGATTCATTCATTCAATATAAAACATCGAGATCTTTAACATTCACTGACTCTTCCTTAAGCTACCCCAATTCTTATTTGTCTTTAGAGACGAGAACAGAATTTGGAGTCAGAGAGCCCAAGTTCAAGTCCAGACTCTTCTACTTCCTAACTCTAAATCTAAGTAATTCCTGCCTCCTTTCTTAGGCGTATTTTCTTCACATACAATGAAGATAGTAATTCCTACAGCAGAGGGTTGCTGGGAGGCTTAAAAGAAATAATGGACATAAAAGCACTATAGGCTTTACAAATATTAGTCTGTAGAAGTTACCTTTGTAATTCCTAAGCATGACACTGAGGCCAAAAACAGAAAAGGATTTATACATATTTTTAGTACAGATTTAATACACTTTCTTAATTTATGGAAATATTATCATAAATAATACAAAGTAAAAACTGGGAAATGCAGCAAATATAGAAAACAAAAATGTTAATAGACTGAATTATCATATAAAAGCTCTTTCAAAATATAAAAACAACCCCTAAAAATATACAAAATCATATGGAAAGATGTTGAACCTCACTAGTAATCAGAAAAATGTAAATAAGACCTATTTGGTATTATTTTATACCTATTAGAATGGCATAGGGTAAAAAAAGCTACAATATCCAGAGCTGGTGGTGGTACTGGGAAATGCTACCCTCATACCCTGTTGACAAGAATGCAAATTGTTACCATTTTCTGGAAGGCAGTAAGTCACATTTGTAAAGTTACATACCAACTAGTCCAAGCATTCTGCTTTGAGAATTACTTTGAAAGAAATAGGCCAGCTAATTTCAAAGATTTATGTGTCTTATCACAACATTAATATCATTTTTTATAAATGTGAAAAACAGGAAACGAAATAATAGCAAATGGTACTTAATACAGTAGAACATTATCAGGCATGGGAAAAAAAGAAATGCGCCCTGGGCTCCCAGATGTAGTCTCAATACTACCTCCCCTCAGAGCAACCAACTGTTTCTCTAGGAGCAAAAACCGTACACCAGGAACCTGGACCATTTTTTCACACTAAAACACAAAGAAGCAATGAAAAATGACTAGAATGTGTTAAAAGTCCTCAGGTGACAACTTAAAAAGTCTCCACTGGCCAAAATGGGACAATTTGAACATGATTCAGAATGTAACTGTAATGGAACAATGGATTAAAACATACCAAATAGATTTAAATTCATGAATCAAAAAAAACCCAAAAACCTCATTGTTCACCTTGAGGTAGATAACCAACTCTGCTTTGAAAATTGGCAAATAAAGAGAAAAAATCGAGCATTTATTCTGCCCTTTCCCATACAGCTGTACCACAAGGTAAACTAAGTAGTTGATGAGAAAATGTTTCTCTTTATCTAGAGTATTTACCCTAATAAATGAAGAACACTATAATTAAATATCAGCATTTTGTAACCCTATTGAAATAATGAATCTAAGCAGTGACATCATAAAAGAGAGATGATCATGCTATAAGGGAAGGACACACATCTGCCGATGGCATAAATCTGTGCAAAAAGAACCTGAATCTGATCATACCTTTGGATCAAACTACCAATTTACAGGAAAGACAGGAGACAGAGAAATAGGTTAAACTCTACTACAGATGGTTACACTGCAAAATACAAATTGGAAAACTCTTGAGGGCCAATAACCTCTTCAACAAATAAATTGCCAGTAAGTAAAAAAAAAAGGAAATAGAGGGAAAAATCCATAAATTAAAAGCGATTAAAAGAGATTCAAGAAGAAACATAAGTGACTCAGGTGATAGATCATCGTCATTAGGGAACTTTTTCTGAGTAATGAAATCAAACAACTAAAAAAATATGAGACAACTAAGAAATTTGAACATAGACTGGATATTTGATGATATTCAGTGATTATTTATTGTTTATGTACAGTAATGGCAAGGTGGTTATATTTTTTTAATTGTCCATATAGTTTAGAAATATCTACTAAAATATTTACCAATGAAGTTCTTTGATGTCTGGAATTTGCTTCAAAATAATGGAGGGAGTGGGCAGGGCATAGATATGAAACAAAATTGACTATGAGTTCATAACTGCCAAAGCTGGGAGATGGGTACATAGGAGCTCATTATTCTAATCTCCCTCCTCATTGATACGTTTGAAATTGTCCAAAACAAAAGTTAAGATAAACCATAAGCACGTCTATATTAACTGACATAGACAAATAACTGTTAAAGAGTTAAGCTACAAAACAGATTCACAGTGGGTTTCTGTTTTTCTTTACACACAGACTATTTTCTTACTATACATATGTGAAAAAAAAATTCTGGAATCACACACACCAAAATATTAACAGTGGTTATCTTTCTTCTTTATACCTTTTATAATAGCTGAGATTTTTACCAAAGATACACATTATTCTTATAAACAGACTTAGACAAGTCCATTCCCTTTAGAAAAACAACCAGATGTGATCAGAGAATCAATACACCGGAATGAATAAAGCAGAGTAGTACGAGATGAGGGAAGAAAATGGCCAAATCACAAATGTCCCTTGTTTTTCTTCTTATACACCATTGCAAGAGGCTTGGCAATTACTCTGAGAAAGACAGGAGCCATTGAAAAGGTTTTCACAGAGAAGTAGCATGATCTGATTTTTATTTTAGAAGAATCAATCTAGCTACTGTGTTGATTAGACTGTAATAAGGGATGAGAAGTAGGCTATTACAGTCTTCTAGGTGACAGAAATTGGTGGCTTGGACATGCTCAGTAACAGTGGAAGTAACAAAAAGAGGTCAAATTCGGGATATATTTCTTAAGAGAAGCTGAGATAATTTACTGATGGATCAGGTTTGATGTGTGAGACAGAGATCATGCCAGGATTAGTCCAAAGTTTTTGGTTTGAGCACCAGTAAGGATGGGATTGTCATTTTCTGAGATAGGGAGAGGGAGGCAGGAGGAAGTCTTGAGTTGGTTTGTGGTAGACGTCTATTGGATAGACACGTATAGTGCTAAGTTGGCAATCAGATACATGTTCATTTCCTTTTGTTGTGAAAGGATTGTCTACTTACATCTTTTCCAATAAGATCTCTCTGGTTCTCAATGACACCCCAAGGAGGGATTCCAACTGTCCAGATTTTTCTCAAGGACTGGGAGGAATGGGCTTTCAGGGCATCCCCAACATGTTTGGACACGCCTATGAACAACCAGTTTAGAAGTCAAACTTTAACTCACAAATCATGCAAAACAGTGTGACTGCCAGAAAGAGTAAACAGACAAGTATATGCAAAAGGCCATTACTAGGAAAAGTTGCTGGCGTAGTGGGATGAATCTCTGATGTCTTTGCTTCCTCTACTCCCTCTTGACACTTATTACCGACCATTCTACCAGAACAATTCCCTCCCTTTTGGGCAATGTCTGCTGACAAGCTCTGTCCTGCCCCTATTCTTGCCTGACCAGAACATCCTGTAAGACCAGCCCTGAAAATCATGAATGTTCTGAGCATTTTTGTGTCTAAACTTCTCTACTGTCCTGGAAGAACATCCTGCAGATGTGTCCCTTGCTTCATTGAGGCACATTAACTTAATAGTCTTATATACAAAAATACAACAGAGCTGAAAAGTTATGTTTGCCCTTCTGGGATTAATAATAATAACAATGATCATAATAACCAACACTTACTGATCTCTTACTCTTCACCAGGAGCTTTTCAAAATCTTTTATTTGTATTTACACTTTAAATAGGAATTATTTTTTAGTCTCTTTTATACGCATCAAGAAGTTAAATAATTTGCCTAAAGTTCTAGAGCTGTTAATTTGTAGAGGTTGGATTCCAATCCAGCAATATCTGACTTTTTAAAATACTTTACTTTTCAGAGCAGTTTAGCTTCAGAGCAAAATTGAGCTGAAGGTATAGAGGTTTCCCATGTACTCCCTGACCCTATACACCCACACCCTCCCCCATTATCCAACATTCCCCCCCAGAGGGTAACTTTGGTTCAACTGATGAACTGACATTGACATATTATAATCACCCAAAGTCTATGGTTTACATTAGGGTTCACTCCTGGGGTTATACATTCTGTGGGTTTGGACAAACGTATAATGACATATATTCACCATTACAGTATCATACAAAATAGTTTCACTGCTCTAAAAATTCTCTGTGCTCTACTTATTCATCCCTCCTCCAAACCCACCTCTAACCCTTGGCAATCACTGATATTCTTACTATCTTCTTACTTTTGCCTTTTCCAGAATGTCATAGAGGTGGAATCATGTAATATGTAGCTTTTAGAGATTGGCTTAAGCTGCCTTTAATCACAACACTGCATTGCACCACTTACCTCTCTATACATGGTCCTGGCCCTGCAATGTGTCAGCACAGAAGGGGAAAAAAAAAAACCTTACATATTTCATGCATCTGATACACAGTATCTAAATCATTTCCCTCTCTCTGGCATCTTCCCATCCAACCCATCTTTTCACTTCTCCCAGAGTCACTTTCCAAAATCAGGATTCTGGACTACAGGTGCATATCAGTATCAACTGTGGAGCCATCCACCACAATAGAGATTCAGATTCCATAGGTTTGGCATGAGTTACCAGCATTGTGGTGATGGCTGTTTTTCAGCAGCTCACACTTGATCCTAATCCATGATGAGACTGTCTGTAAAACCAGATCTGACCATGTCATTCCCTATTCATTCTCCAGTTCAGAATCCTTTGAGGACTTCCTGCCACATAGAGAGTAAAACCAGAGCCCATTGGCGGCATCCCTTGCTGTCCCTGTCCTCTGCCACATGACACATCCAGCCAGGAGCCTTATCACCTCTTTCTACACCTGCCTTAATCTCCAGTTGTGTCCCTGATGCCCAACAGCCACCTCTGCCTAAAATGCTCCTCCCTCCCCTTCTCTCAAGGCCAACACCCAGTGCTGTATCTTTCCCTAAACCTTCCCAGGTGCCCTCAGTTGGAACTGGGGTTTGTCTTCCTCATTCCTCTCCTCCCACTTTGTATCTCAACTGTGACCCAGGAAGTATCGATTTCTGGTTAGCTGCTTATTATGTCTGCCACAGTCCTGTCACTGAATTCTGGGCTCATATCTTATTCATCTTTCATCCACAGCATCTATCCAAATGCTTCAGGCTTGTGGCATTCAATTTAAGCAAATGTCAAAATGTCAAAAAAATGTTCACCAATGGTTGAGCAGCATCTCAAGAACAGGAAGGGGCTGGCAAGCAAAGCTTCCCAAATTTAAATGTGCATAAGAACCATCTGGGGATGTTGTCAAAATGCAGATTCTGATCCTGCAGGTCTGGGGAGGTCCCTGATTTCTGCATTCCCAGCAAGCTCCTGGTGATGCTGACGCTGGGGGCCCAGGGACCCCTCTTTGAGGAGTCAGGCCCTAAACAGTTGTGGCTGAATCAGGTCAGACCCCAATAGTTGTTTAAGGAAGCCCCAGGTATGTCTCATTTCCCATTTCTTTTGTTCATATGAACTATTTCAATAGTCTTCACACTATTACATTTGTGTTCCTTAGCTGGCCCTAACCTAAAATGTTAAAAGAAGAAGAAAATAAATAAATAAATAAACTGAAGCATATAATACAGTTAATTATTCAAACAAAAAGCCTTGTCCAAATCTACCTTTTTCTGAACTCTACAAAACTTCCCCACCCACCCTCTTTTTTACTGGAAATAAAATAGGCCCTATCCCTTGGACTTAGAACTCTGCAACCTTCACTTTTTTCTAAGATGTGAAACAATGATTATCTCAATAAAATGAACAAGAGAAACTACCAGGTTACCCATTAGTGACAAGCCAATCCCTTGGTTTTATTTTGCTTTGTTTTTTTCAATCTTCTGCTTCCTTCACACCTTTTTAGTCAAAAGAAGTTGTTTGCTAAATCAGTATGTGTTGCTCAGAGCTTAGACACATGTGCAGGCCCTGGCCTCTAGCTCACAACCGGGTCTGAGGGCTGATGCACACTCACCCTCACCTAACCCGTAAGGCAAAACAGAAACCCACTACAAGTGCTACAGCAGTAAATGCATTAGGAATTAGGAGACAAAGTGAGTTGAGATAGAGAATGCTTTGTGGGTGTGTTGGCATTTAATGGAGATCTTAAAGGATGGGCAGGATTAAATAACAGACACTGGCTAGGGCGTCCCAAATTAAAAGGTGGAGAAATAAAGGGAAGACGGGAAGCCAAAAGTGTGATACTGTGATTTAATATTCTATCTCTGTCTTGCTCCTGGCACAGAGCTCCTAGAACCCTTGGAATTTTCTAAGTGTTGAGAATGACAAAGGTGCCTTCTGTTACGACAATGAAGTAACTTTTGGACACACCTAAGGGTGGGGGTTGGTTGCCAGGGGAACGAACCCTGGGACTGGAGGATTGGAACTTTCCATCGCACCACCCCACCTCCAGCGAGGGGAGATGGGCCAAGCAATCATCAGTGGCTTATGATTTAATCATTCGTGCCTTCATAATGAAGGCTCCAGAAAAAACCCAACAGGACAGGGTTCAGAGAGCTTCCTCTGAGTGAGTAAGTGGAGATGTGGGGAAGGCATGGAAGCTCTGTGCCGCTTCTCGTGTATCTTCCTCTATACACGTCATCCACCTGGTGTGGATATTAATCCCTCATGTCAAAATATCCTTTGAAAATAAACTGGGTAAACTGTTTTTCTGAATTCTGTGAACCACTCTTGCAAATTAATCAAACCCAAAGAGAAGGTTGTGGGAACTTCTGATTTACAGCTGGTCAGGCAGCAGCACATGGTGAACAACCTGGCCTTGAAACTGGCATCTGAAGGGGGACAGTCTTGTGGGACTGAGCCCTTACTCTGTGGGATCTGCTGCTATTATCAGGTAGATAGTGTCAGAACTGAGTTAAACTGTAGATAACTAGCAGTGTCAGAGAACTGTTTGGTGGGGGGAAGGAACCCACAGCAGAACTGGTGTCAGAATGGTACAGGTTGGGAACAGGCCAGTAAGAGCTCAGGAGGGTTTGCGAAGTCACTAGTTATTAACCCTGGCTGCATTTCAGACACCCTTCAGAAGTTCTACCTGTACAGCTCTATTAGTCTGGGATAAAGCCTGGGCTTCTGTATTTTTTTAAAGCCCCTAGGTGACTCTCCAATGTGCAATTGATAAACACTAATGCAAAGGAGTAGGGTTAGAGGTTCAGAGACTACTATATGAAGCTCTTGAATGTCAGATTTTAAGGAACATGAAAGGGAATGGAACATGAAATGGCAATTACATAGTTATTTATCACCTCACGACCAATACATTCAATGCAACTGTTGCATGCGTCACTGATTTCCAGTGCCTGGGAACTTGACCATTGTAAATTTAGCTCCTGTCCACGCATGCACACTACACACTCTGATGGCTTCCATGTGCCTTCTAAGCTCACCACAGTCTGAAGCTCATGAAAGATGATTTTTCTTTGACAGAAATTTACTGGCAGTTATGTTAAAATAGCATATTTCAACAATGGTTAAAAAAGCACATTCCAGGAATGGTCTATGATTCTTCTGCATTTCTTTTCCAGTCACTACGCTTTTTGCCTTTCTCCCTCATGCCACCATGTCTCCCGGCATCACTGCATAGCAGAGATTAGGTACCACCATACTGCCTAGCTCACAATTAGAAAGAGGGACTAAGTTCAAAAAAAAAAAAAGAGTGCAACAAGAGTGTGTGTTTTACCAGTATTAATGCCCTCCGTTATTATCCATGCTCCCGTTGTCTCTGCAGCTTTGACCAACCCTTGGCTGAAGATCTCTTTAAGCTTGGAAGGCATCTTGAAGTTCTGGATGCCCCCGTGGACAGAGATCACCAACTTTGGCAGTTCCATCTTCCACTCGTTCAACATTAAGTGTAACAGATGATCCAGCTTTGTATCATAAGAAATTCTAATATACTGGAAGAAAAGAATATTCACATGTACATAAAAAAAGTGAAAAATACATGCCAGGTAACAATAAGACACAGCAAGGCAACTGAAACAGTCAAAACTCAAAAGGAAGTGTCTGAGAGCTCTTTAAAATTCATCTTGATTAATGAAAATATTTACTTTGAAAGGATCCCACACCCCCTTCAAGTTCCTTCTGGGAATTACAAGCCACAGCAGGAGGCTTCCTCTGGTTTTCGGGTTTGGCCCACCAGTATTCTCCAGAAGGTCTGAGGTGGGGCAGAAACACTTCAAACTGGCAAAAAAAAATCACTACTCCAGCAAACCAGTTTCTTTTAAAAAGTGTTTAGAAATAGATGAAATGGCATTTTTCATAAATGGTATGGCTTATAATTTATTGGCCGTTTCACATTATTTGCATAATTTAAGATCTAGGAAAATGTACACTTAATTTACTATAAACTTTACTTTTCAACCATTTCCTTGATAGGTAAATGTCCCTCTGAAAACTTTTTCTCTCCAAAATAAATACTTTTCACAAAAATGTATTAGAACTGTATCTTTGACCAGTCAATGTAACCAAAAGAGAAGGTGAGGGAAACCGGAACCAGCAGGTAGCCCAGCATCATTTTGCATTTTGGGTAAGATAACAGTGTTCAACTGGCTTTCTTTTTCCAGAAGATGCAGCCACTTACAGACTGCTAAAATCAAAGGTGAGTTGGCCTTCCTCAAGCATAAGCCAACTGATAGCAAGAAAAAAACAGATCTACAGGAAGAAAGAAAAATCGTAAGAAACCATTAATTATAAAATTATCCCAAAAACCACAGGTGGAGATTTTCACAGTTATGCAAATAAGAATGATCACATTATCCTGCAGAACATGAAGGTGGTTCATAACAACTGTCCACTCATCTTTGAAATTCTTAAAATACAATCCCTTTATTTCATAATTAAAATGTCAGAATTTCTGAGCATAGGGATAGTACAGCCATCACAGAATATAATAGAAATAATCTAAGGATAACTAGGATTCAGTTCATAAGTGAGCAAACTGACTTGCCATGGCTCTATCATCTGTTATGAATAGTAGGAAAAAATACAAGCTGACCTTTGTGAGATGGTTTATGTTGCTCCAAATAATCTATAAGGAATAAGGAGGTGGCTCAGGTTTAGTTCGCCTTCTTTCTATCCCAGCTCTTTCTCCCAGGTACCTCTCTCTTTCAACTATAAGCCCTGTAAGTCCTAGAAGATATTTCTCCTTGAGATTTCCGGGTAAGTGGCCTTGACTAACTAAATTATCGGTACTAAAGTACTTTCTCCCAAAGGTCAACCAAAGATGGTGCTAAAGGTTAATGACTTTCCCTTGGCCCCTTCTTTATAACTAACTTTCTCAGGCAGAATCATACTGCTGGAGATTCACCTCAAATCTTTTGTAGAATGAGGTGGACGAATAACCAACAGGGAATGCAGTGGAGAGAGATGAATAACCAGCTCTCACAAGCTTTCCTGCTGTTCACTGTAAATATGAAGTGCAATTCTGGGCTTCAATGTGAATAACAGCTTCTTCTCTTCTGTGAGATCAAATAAGATGCAGCCAGGTACATAGGATGTAACAGGAGCCTAATACTAAGCATAAAATGTATTAGTGATCAGGAGATCTGCCTAATCATATTTTCAGTTCCCCTAAAAGTACCCTTTTTCTCCCTTGGTATTCCCACAACCTACCTCTCATGCCTAGAGTGGTCTTACTCCTCTGCCTCACCAAACACTTCTCTCAGCTTTCCAATCTCAGCTTAGCTGTTCCTACTTTCAGATAGATTCCTTGACATACACACACACACACACACACACACACACACACACACACACACAGCCCCAGAAGAACACAAGTTACCTCTTCCATTCTCTCCAAGAAGCCTGTATTCCCTCTCCACAGTATCTGTGGTAACTCTGTTTACTTCCTATTTCCCTCCATATACCATAAGCAATTTTAATACATGGAACATATGCTCGTTAGAGCTAATAAAGTATGGGCATCCGATAAATTTGTTGAATGGATGAAAAAAATGAGTAAATGCAGGTGATTATGAATAAACATAAAAGCAAAAGGAAAAAGACTAAAATTTAAGGGGAAAATTATATACAGGGTTTCTTAAGAGTCAGCTTCCAAAAAGAACTGGAAAGGAGAATGAGGGCAGTTTTTTTTTCCACTAAAGAAAAATCAACACACAAAGTTAAATGCAAGAGGATTAATAATGTAGATTATTGTAGAGCTATATTATGAAACTTTATAAAGATTGCACTATTAAGAGCTGTTATTTCAAATCCCTCCAACTGATGGTCACATTCCATGTTACAGCTGATTTTAAGCTTTCCTGAGGTGGGCTCCCCCTCCATTTTCCCCAAGGAAATTTCCCCCTAATAAAGCAGCAGATGGTTAACAAGCTCAAGAGAAAACTCCTGAGAGATAGCTGACCTGTCAATACTAGGCAGATCACATGCAAAATTATAATATTAGGGAGTGGAGAAAAACTGACATGGAAAGCCCAAGCACTATCATTCATAGAGTCAGAGAGAAAGTCCCCCACTTCCTTCCTGAGAAGAGGCTCTCACAAGGACCGCAGGCATGACAGCCACAAGTTACTGGTGATCGCTATGGCCACGTTCAGCTAAAGCCTGCTCCTTGGTAGCAACTTTTTTGTATGAGGGCAGTTTCTTTAAGAAATGGGCAGCCCTTTGTCAACTGTCTCAAGAGCCATAAGCCATTCTCTTCTGCAAAGAGTGTAAGCTTGCTGCAAAAGGTCAATCAAATAAAGAGCTGGTCACATCACACACAGGAAAGGTACAAAGCCCCTCAGACATAAAGAAGAAGAGATGGGTCAGGTTGTTTTTGTCAAGAGATCAATAACATGGGTCACTTTTGCAATAAAACTTGGTCACCTGATCATGTGCACTTGAAGATACAATTTGAAGATACATTTGGAAGTTATCTTCCATTAAAAAGCAACAAAGTAATGAGAGCTATTAGCAAACCTTGGAGTGGTGGGTATGCTCGCCATCTTGGAAATTAATAGTCCCAAAGGTATCTGTAGGGCTTTTCGTTGTGTGTTTTTCAACAGACCACTGTTCATTTTCATTACCCCTGGCAGCTGAGATGGTCCAGGCATAATCTATCCCATGATGGTCTCCAATCAATCGTCCACAGTTACACCTTCAATTTGGGATAAAAACCAGTTTCAGAATACAAAACACACCATGTTTAGAAATAGAATAGAAACAGAATATAGATGTAATGTCTTCACAATACAGATGACATATTTTAACAATTTTTAAAACTTCACTTTAATATTTATATCAGACTTATAATACTGGATTGTCTTCTATGTTTAGAAACATTCTCTACCCTGGCTGCATGTTAGAATCATTTAGGCAATGTTTAAGAAAATACTAAAAATCTCTTGCATACCCACGTTCATAGAAGCATTATTCACAACAGCCAAGGAGTTGAAGCAACCTAAGTGTCCATCAATAGATGAATGAATACACAAAATGTGGTATATACATAAAATGGAATATTATTTGCCTTAAAAGGGAAAGTAATCCTGTGGTATGGTACAACATGAATGAACCTTGAGGATATTATACTAAGTGAAATAAGCCAGTCATAAAAAGACAAATACCATATGCCTCCACTTACGTGAGGTCCCTAGAGTAGTCAAATCCACAGTCAAAAAGTAGAAGGGTGTTTGCCAAGGGCTCGGGGGAGGGGCCAATGATGAGTTATTATTTATTGGACAGAGAGCTTTGGTTTTGTAAGACGAAAAAGTTCTGGAGATCTGTTGCACAACAATGTGAATATACTTAATGCTACTTAACAATTCACTTAAATGCTTAAGATGGTAAAAAAAGAAATTAGATTTTATATTTTGAATATGTGCAGTTTATTTTATGTCAATTATACCTCAACAAAACTGGTTTTTTTTTAAACTAAAAATCTTTAATGCCATACTTAAGGAGAGTAAGAAAATGACTTCATGTAAAATATGTGCATCAAAAAGGAAGGAATGTTAATCAGTGCAAAAAGGATGCAATTTCAGAGAAATATGTAAACATAGAGCTATCACAGGAAAAGGGCCATGAATGAGACTTGACTTTATATATAAAATAAATAATAAAAATAGATATAATATCACGTTAAAGGAAGAAAAAAATTTTTTATTGAAGTATCACTGATAAATAATCTTATGATAGTTTCACATATACACAAAACAATGGTTCAACATTCAGCCGTATTATCAAGACCTCACCACCTCCACTGTGGTCACTGTCTATCAATGTATTAAGATGTTACAGAGTCATTAATTGTATTCTCCGTACTGTACTACCATCCCAGTGACCTCCCTATGTTGTGATTGTGAATTATAGCACCCCTAGATGCCCTAAGGAAAACTTAACAAGTGTTCTTGCAAATAATTAGAAATATGGCTGTGTATATGAATAGTTTTCAAAACTGCTACTATATAAAATAAACTAAGCAAATTAAAAAGTTAAATCTTTTTACAACTAAAACTATGAAAATCAATAAAACATGAGAATATTTGTGAGAAAATGATAAGCTTCTCATCTTTAGTGAATTAGGAACAATCAGAATGAAAATTTTAAATTTGAATATATAGAACTATAAAACTTTCTACAAATAAAAATGATACATCCCCAGATGAAAAAGTTATTTGCATCAAATATGTCAGATTATATACCTATTGCATACAAAGAGATTATTTGGCTTTATAAATGTTTCAGGCTTTTTTTGTGTGTGTAAAAAGCAACACAAAAACATGTACAAATTTGGAATCCAACTCAGCAAGGAAACAGGATGAACAGAAAACAAGAACTCAGAACATGAGGGATATTACTGAAGTTCTCTAAGGACGGGCTCATGATTCAAAAGGAGGAGAAATAATCCCAGATGTTCAAAATACACGTAATGAGGACCTACTGGTGAGAAATGTGTCCTCTGGTCATCTTTTGGGGTAAGGATCATTCTTCAAAATGAAAAAGCATCTATTCATAAACTGAGTGACTCATCTCACTGTGACTTTTTCTAAAAAGGATGTAAATGGAGGCAACCACAATTCATACAAGAGAGACAAATCATTACTATTTCATAAGACTGTTCTTTTTGGTTTGAACTCACTTTGCTCTAAGTATTTTTCTAATCTAATCCATTTTATTGGGGTCAATATAATTTTATTCTAGTTTTTAACAGTTCATTAAATTGTGGCAAGGTGGCCCCATAGAAGAAACCAATCACCCCAAATTTTTTTTTCAAAAAGCTTCTATGTTCATCCCTTTGGTTATAACTTTCAAAAGTTCTAAATCATACATTACTAACAAGTATGAAAAGTTCACCCTGAGAATCAACTTTATAAAGATGCCATTTCCCTTCCAAATTGTTTTTATAAATTCTATAAAATCCTCGAAGAATTTTTCAGGGAAACTGACAAAATGATTCTAAAATTCATATGGATGTTTAAGTATCCAAAAGAATAAAATAATTTTTAAAAAGAAGAATAAAGCACAGAGGACTTGTCCTATTGGATATCAAGCTATATTACAAAGCTATAATAATAAAACAGAGTGGTATTTACCAGGAACAGGACAAATAGATCAATAATACTGAAAAGAAAGCTTAGCAACAAAGCCATAGACTTTTGGGGATTTGGTATATAACAGAAAACATCAGAAATGTTTAAGACTAGGACAGACTGCTCAGTAACTGATTTGGGACATCTGGCTCTCTACATGGAAAAATATTAAACTACTTCTTAGCTAGGTACAAAAATTGTGTCAACTGCTTTAATTTCTGAATAGCATGAAATAGATGGTTTTCCAATACTGTTCACATGAGGTAGCTCTGAAGATTGTGAATTAGGGAATACTGACAGGGAGAGGTTGTGGAAAATCAAGTGGGAAGTGGGAGGAGTAAATGAAGCCTTTCACTTCTTTTCAATATATTCTTATGTTTGTTTTGAATTTTAGCAAATTTTGAATAATTACTAAAAAGAAAGAAAAAAGAATTTGAAGAAAAGGTAAAGGAGGCTAGCCAAATGGAAACTCTTCCCAGTGTTAGGGGCTAAATTGTGTCCTCCAAAATTCATATGTTAAAGTGCTAACCCCCAATGTGTTCCCTAGTTCATACACTGAACCTTAAAAAAAAAGTGACTAAATAAGCCCTATAATGCAGTCATAAGAGTGGGGCCCTCATCTGATAGAAATGGTGTCTTTAAAAGAGAGACACAGAGTCTCTCTCTCTCTCAGCACTTGCACAGAAAAAAGGCCATGTGAAGACATAGCGAGAAGGTGGCCATCTGCAAAGCAGGAAGAGAGGCCTCACATATATATTTACAAAAGTAAATTTAAATTGGGGCAATCCATAATGTGAACTTCAGGCTTTAATCAGAATTAAGGAAATTTCATTTTCCTCCACTTACTAAAGGGAAAGGTGAAACCAGTTATTAACAGGTAGCTTAAAAATGCAAATCACCATTAAAATCTGTATTGCACTGGAGAGTTATTTGTGCCCATAAGCCTATGTGATATTGTGATTTATAATATAGTGCATATTTAGTTTTTATTCCTGTTTCTGGCACAGAACTCCTAAAACCCTCAGATTTTCCTAAGTGATACAACAGATAAAGGTGCTAAAGGTTGAATCAATCACCAATAGCCAATGATTCAACCAATCATATCTATGTAATAAAGTCTCCATCAAAACTCAAAAGGATGGGTTTTGGAGAGCTTCAGGTGGGTGAACACATGGACGTGCTGGGAGAGTGGCCTGCCCAGTGAGCACGTGGAAGCTCCCTGCTCCTCCCCACATACCTTGCCCTATGCACCTCTTCCATCTGGCTATTCATCTGTATCCTTTATAATATCTTTTATAATAAACTGGTAAGCATTAGTAAATGTTTCTCTGAGTTCTGTGAGCCTCCCTAGCAATTAATGAAACCCATGAAGGGGGTTGTGGGAAACTGATTATTGCCCATCAGTTGACAACTTGAACTTAGGAATAGGCATCTGAAAAGAGGGGAGATGGGGGTAGTTTTGTAGGACTGAGCTCTTAACCTATAGGATTGGACACTATTTCCAGGTAGACAAAATCAGAATTGAGTTAATTACTTGGTGTTATTGGAAAACAAAACACATCAGATTGGTGTCAGATTAGGAGCTTGGTATGCACACACATAGCTTGCAAGTCACAGATCAAACAGAGTGCTGTACATAAACAAAGCATCTTCATTATTCAAATAAAATGTAACATAGTAAAATGAAAGTGTTTTAGAATTCAATAGGTAGAAGCTCTTGCAAAGGCCCTTGCCCATTTACAAACCTCAGTAATCCAAGCAATCTATTTTATTAAAATAATCACTCTTCAAAACTTCCCATTGGAAAGGTAAGTAGAATGCACCAATAAGGCTCTTTCATTAAGTCCGTTCAGTGACAAAACTGTCACAATAAGTTTTAAACACAGTGCCTAAAAGTTAAATGAAATCTTGTTCTTATTTATCAAAGCCTTACCTGATTAAATTCTGGCAGACCTGGCATCCTGTCGTACATCTAAATTAAAGAAATAAAACCTCTGTTAATTTACTGATGTATTTGAAAACATATTTAATCCTTATACAGTAACTATCTGTTCTCTTCCATGGTCTGGAAATCAGGGTTTGCTGAGTACTCACAGATCACTTCCCATATATTATATGTCATTTACCAAATATAATTAATCTGCAGCAACTGTGACCTAATTAACAGAATGCTAAATTTGGAACCAAAGTACCTGGATTTAAATCTCATTGATATAACGATTCCTTTGAGCCCCTGTTTTCACATCTGAAAATAATATAGGCCCCATAGGTTATTAAAAGGTTTATCTGAGATAATACATGTAAAATGTATTACAGTACCTGGTACACTGTAATATATATAACTATTATGGTAACTATTATTATTATTATGCTATGAAGATAACAGAATTCATGAGAATTCTGAGAATCAAGAAAGAAAAAAAATGCAAGCAATTTCAAAACCATAAATCACTTTCAATTCAAGGGTGGTAGGATTACAATAAGTATCCTTATTCATCTTTGTTTTAATGATTCAAAAGAGCCTTCTAGCATTGCAGGTTAGTATTGTGGTTATCATATCAATGACCATTTTTTAGGTGTGAAGAAGTTTTAACTAGAAGAAAACACTACTTGAAATAATGAGGAAAATAGCACTCAAAATCACTACCATTCTAAATGATTCAGAAACAAACATTCAAGCCTTTCACTTCTTCCTGTTCCAGGCTTTTGGGAATGTCTTTTCTCAGAAGATTCACTTCACCAAAGAATTGAAAATGAGAAGGGAAAAGATCTTGCAACCAAGACTATCAGATTTCTTATTAGGAACTACAAAAATAATCCATAAAAGACACACCTTTATCTACATTTAAAATAGGGACTACAACCCTTTTCCCATACAACACAAAGGAAGGCAGTCTCATGAAAGCAACAATTTTGAGACTCTTACTAGGATCTAAGAAAATGGCTGGCATAGGAAGAATAACCATAGTCATCTATTAATTTTTTTTACCATCACATAAAAATAGAGACTGCCTTTTTCCTATAAAATGTAGTATATCTTGGAGCATTCCATAATATGGAATTATGATCACTGACATTCTTCCTGAGTCTATGGGCTAGTGGTCTGTACTCCCCTCACTTTTTGTGAGGGTCAAGGTTACTGTAAAGATGATTTCCCATTTACAGAAGCAGGAGCTGCCTGAGCTCAGTCTGCCTTTCACTGCAGCCACCATCACATTACAAGAGTCATAAAAGATGAAAGGGGCAAAAAAAGGTTACCTTGGTGTTCTGTAAACATTTTATAAACAGGTAAAGTGAGAATTTCTAACCACAAGGCTTACAAGTCACAGGTAATTCAATGAGGGTGGGACTAGTAAATATTTAACAAAACCAAGGATCATATTTTAGTCATCCCCAAAGAATTAGAATTTCAGTGACCTCACCACACTCACCCTTCATAAGCGCACAGCTGTGATTTCTAAATGCTCAAAGGAATCTAAAAATAGAGTGGTTCCCTAATTAAAATACTGTTCTTCTATATTTCTTCCTTTTAATTTATTTTCTCCAAGGGCAATGCCATCCAATCTTACTTCCAAGGAGCAAAGTACCCTGGGGAATTTTCCATAGCCCTGTCTTCCCCTATCTTTGCAGTAGCTTCTGAGGGTTTTTTGTTTTTTGGTTTTGGGTTTTTCTTGTTTTGTTTTGTTTTGCACTAGCTGCTGTTTTAACTTTGCTCTACAAGTAGAGCTTCTAAAGGACTGTCAAACACTTAGGATATTCAAACTAAAGTCGTTCCATTCTGCTGCCCATTGTTCAAACAAAAAGCCTAAGGAAGGGAGATGGACCCAAAATCAACTGTTTGTATCATCTGAGTACAGTGTCCTGAATTTTCCCAATCACTTTTTCCATAAACACTGTAGTGGGGGATAAGCAACAAGATTTTGAACATTCAATATTCAGAAGTTGTATGTTTTTATCCAAACCTGTGTGAGTTATGGATGCAGCACAAGACATTTCCCTGATGACTATTCTCCCACTAAGGGGAACAGGAGCATCAAAGAAAAAACAGTGGAATGAAATCCTCCACAATAGTAACAGTGGCTCCATCAGAGTGATGTCATTATGATGAACTTTTGTCTTCTTTCTACTTCACTACATCATAAAAGATGTTTATCAGGAGCCTCTCCGCTGCCAGGCACTGTCATAGCACTAGGGTTGGAGTAAGGGACAAAATCGGCAAGGTCCATGTTCCTACCAGATTTCCTACAATAATCACGTGTTATGTCTATTACAACAAAGAAGCAAACATTTATTTAAAATAAATACTGTTTACATATCACATTATTAAATTCTCTAGACAAGTCATATCTCTAAATCTCCACAGTCTTCAAAATAATATTGCTTTAAAAAGAAAAATTTAATCAAAAGCTGTACCTGTGAGGGTCTTTAGAGCTGGGTATGATTTTGTTGCATTCTCTTTTGTTGAACACTCCTTCAATCCAGGATTTCTGAGACTGAATAGAAAGTGTTATTATTTTGGTATTCTAATTAAGTGAGAAAGCAATGTAACCACAGAGGTTCAGGTACAAGATGCATTAAATATCTTGGACACCAATTAAAATGCCAAGACCAATCCCAATCAGGCTAAGCATTTACTGGCTTCCAATCCCAATCAGGCTAAGCATTTACTGGCTTCCATTGCAGACAACACAGACACAAGCCAAAGGTGAACACAAAAATATCCACAAAGTTAATTGATCCATAATCTCACCTTAAGTGAAAGGTCCCTAAATGCACAAAATTCTAGTGAGGAAGAACACATCTAACTGATGTGTTCTCTTAATTCTGCTAAAAGTCACTTTCAAATCTTGCACCATAATCCTATAGAGTGGATATCAGGTTCTCAGACAAAATTCTTATTCATGAAGCCCAACTTTGGTGAAAATTGCACAGGGAGCTGGGAAGTGTGTAAGGAGAGATGCAACCTCAGCAAGATTCTGTGGAAGGATTTCAGTCTAAAATGGAATGAAAGATAGGAAACGGAGAATCTCACGCAAACACCCTCAGAACAGAACTTAAAAAACTGAGAAACATATTTCCCACAAATGCCTGATTTACAGAAAAGTGAGGCTCATCTCCTGACCATGAACATCCAAAAAGAATCTCTCCCCATCTTCAAGCCAGTGAACTTAATGTTTGGACTCGAAGCGACTCCCTGCTGTTTGCACTCCTTGCCCGTAAATACAGCCTGTCCCAAATCCTGAGCAGACTCACCTGTAACTCGCTACAGCATGCATTTCCCGAACAGCAATTCCTCTGCTAGTCCCAAATAAACTCAATTTCTGATCATCTGAGCTGGCCTCAGTTTACCTCTTTATTTAGGTTGACAATTCAATACACAGGCTGCAAGCAGGACGTACCATTAGCTGTGTTGCGTAGGCTATCACTGTTCCTAGATCCACATGACACACTGGTATGCACTTGTCCTAATAAGATCTCTCCCTTCTACGGAATTCACATAATAGCCAAGCTCTTCCATAGAGTGTTCTACGTCTAGAAGCAAAGGACCCTGGATCCACAATAATACACAACCAACTGATGGGCTCGGCCTCCTCCTAATATGAAAATATTTGAGAGCTATATGGTATAAAAGTGTAAGTGTGGATATAATTCTGTATACACTTATATATCGGGTCTCCTCCTAATATGAAAATATTTGAGAGCTATATGGTATAAAAGTGTAAGTGTGGATATAATTCTGTATACACTTATATATCGGGGCAGCATTGAAAGGAAAGGAAAAGCACTGGGCCAGAAAACCTGTTACAGATCCAGCTCTGATAACCTCCTCATCACACTCTCCTCAGGTTTCCAGATGATTATGAAGGAATCTAAAATATGGTTCTGTGGTATATTGATTATTTTGAGCTTTAGGCATTTAAAAAACAGCCAATGCAGAGAGGTTTTCTCTACTCCCCTTATCTGCGTAAAGACAGATCCTCCAAAAGGAAGTCAATTGTTATAAATCCCCTCCCTGGGAGTTTCACCCTCCCCTCCCCAGGGAACATTGACTCTTATCACAAGGGAGGTTAGAAGTCACACCACACCCAGACAAACTTTGCCATCAACTATCCCAACTCCCACCTATTCCTCTAAGGGCCCATTCATCTTTTCCAAAAAATTATTTATTCTCTCCTAAATTGCCCACATTCTCCCAAATCTTCCTTTATTAAGGCAACATATAAATTTCAAAATCTCAAATACCCTTTTTGGGATATTTACTTTTGCTTTCCTGTATGCATGTAACATTAACAGTTAATAAGTTTGTATAACTTTTCTTCTGTCAGTCGGCCCATTGTCTGTCAGTTTATTTCAGAGAACCAGCAATGAAACCTAGGAGAGCAGAGGAAAAGTTTTTCCTCTCCTACAATTACAAACGAGGCCATTTATGGAATCCTTGACATACCAATATTAAACTCATGGATCTTGTTCAATATGCACCAACCCTAAACATTACTGTTGACTCTTGAATGGAACTGTGTATAACCAGAATTGAGATCTTGGTAAGCAATGTTGGGGGGTGAGGAGAGATTGATTGATCAGTTCCTGTGCATGTTAAACATATCTATAAACAAGAGAAGCATTCCAAAGATAAAAATCCAACTCTTCTTAAATCATTCTGTCCTTTTATCCCTTTTGCATCATCAACTTTTTTTAACGTATTAAAACATATTCACTAAATTGGTAAAGCACAAAAAAACACACAAATTTGGAAAAATCCAGAGTCACAGAACTTAGAATGAAATAAACTAAATTCAAAATCCATTTATTATAACAAGAAATAACACAGCCTTTTAGAATCAGTAAGCCCTGTGCCCTATTCAAAAACATTATCAATTACATTTATTCATTTTGCAAAGCACTGAGAAAGGAGCTACAGGGAATTTTTTTTGAAGAGCTCTTCATTTTGAATTCATGCAACAAATATTTTGGGGAGTCCTCCATGCTACATACGGGGAATTCCATGGCAAGACAAGGTCCTTACTCTAAAGGAACTTAGAATTAAAGGAGGAAGCAGATAATAAATTGACATAAATTAAACTTCATGTGTACCAATTAACTATTAAAAACAGATCCAAAAGGATCCCTACCTTAGGAACCCATCTACCACTCTCTTTTAGAAGGGAAGATCACGGACTAGCAGGACTACCTGGACAAATTAATTTATTCACGCCCACTTGTTCATATGTTAAAAATGGAGATAACACCTCATAGGGCTGTAAAAAGGAATAGATAAATTAAAGGCTTAGAATTCTCCCTGAAATTTATTAAGTCTCAATAAAGCTTAGCTATTATTGTTGGTAATATCAAACCTAATAAAAATAAGCTTTTGGTTAGTGGCCTGGGAACTTAACGTTGATGTATTTTTTCATAGAAAAATACTTCTTGACCTCCAAATCTCCCTCCTAGGATCACTCATACTAGAAATGAGTGACTTTTACAGGTTCACTTTATCCCCCCAGACTCCAGCCTCTACAGGCCATACCAGTCATTTCTGTTGCCCCAGGGCCTGACCCAATAATTGTTGAATGAGCTACAAAATGAACATACTTAAAATAGAACTTCAGGAATCCATGTATACATTTTTCCCTTCAAAGGTATAAACAGGAAACCTATGCTATACATAACCATTACATGGAAACTTTCCTCCTGAGCTCCCATATCTTATCTCAAGACTACAGGAAAAGAAAAGCAGGCCTGCCTCAGTTGCAAGTGTCTCAAACAAATCTCAGTTTACAACTTTGCTTTTTCCCCTGCTCTGTCTCATAATAGCAGCCTTTTCAAGATACCCTGCAGCACTTATGGAGAAGGCCTTCATGTTCAGTTCAATGGAGAACTACTGGGAGCCAAATCTTTGCTCTTTCTGATACTACAGGCTTCATCTACTGAGGACAAACACCCAATGTGCGGGCTTCTGTCATTTATCACAGAAAATCTTCCCAGCGGTGGTAGTTGACAACATAGATTATGCCATTCCTGCACCTATCATGGCTGGATGTTTTTTATATACTACAGGGTTTTGTTTATTTTTTAATTGTTGTTATTGGGAGAAGGGAAAGGCACAGGACAAAGAAGGGAAATAGTGTTGGTCTCAGGCTCAGGGGTGGCCACACAATTTTCCCCACCCTAAAACACAATCGGGTTTCACATACAATTCTAGGTCTGAGATGGGGGTTGGGGGGATAGCAAAGAAATGTCCAAAGACTAACCCTCTAACAGTAGCTATAGATGATTTAATGCCTGCCCTCACAGAAAGTATTTCTACACTGGAGCTTTTAGGGTTTCCAGATAACAGATTTTCTCACAGTGATCTTGAGAAGGCATCATCTTAGAGGCATTCTTAATTAAAAGAAAAAATTATTCTGGATGTGTGCATGAATTTTTTCATTAACATTCAGAGGCCCCTATGATTGGGGTGAAGGAGCACATAGGTAACAGACCATCATTTTTCTCTCTTTAGACCTTTTGTAACTTTAAAAAACCTAACACCTAACAGATACTTTTCCAGGTGAAACTGACTACTTACTCCCATTTTTGTGGTCCCTACTCTATCTCATACACATCACAGCGCTCAGTACCTACTTGCCCTTAGTCAGTTGTTTTTCTCTTAACAATTATCATAATCTACTTCAAGACAGGGCATTAACTTATTTATCTTGGAATCTCTAACACTAGAGAAGCAACAGTAAGGATCAAATAGAGAAGTAGTACTTCCAGGCTCCAGATAGACATATGTCATCTTCTCTACACAGCTCCTCCCTTGGGGCTGAGCGCCAGGCAGGTGGACTTCCTCAGAGCATCGTCTATGAGCTCCAGGCCACTGCTTGGTGCGAAGCTGGCCCATCCACTTGGAAGAGTCAGCTCAGGGTCTTCTCGGGGTTTGTCCACATCCTGCAGAGATACCTCAGGAGACTCACTTGATCCAAGATTAAGAGTATCAGGCAAAGGGTATCCAAACCTAAAATAACCAAATCCCAAGGATCTGGCTCACCAACACTGCCTCAAGTTGATCTCACTGGAAATAATCTTTACAGGAGGCAACATTTAGGAGTACTTCATAAAGAATATAAAAAACCTTCTATGCTGTCTACATTTTGGGTAATAAAAGGTGAACACTATTTTGCTGGTAATGATTTTTTTTGGTAACATCTTTAAAAGTGGAATGTCAACTAAATGACTCACAGTCCCCTAAAATGCCACTGCTCCTGTCCAGGTGAGAAATTTTACTAATATTTTCATATACTGCCTTGTTGACCAAAGACATTCAGAACTTCAGAATGCATGCCTAGCTCATATAGACTCACAAGTACATGAGTAAAACATTTATGAATTCCCCACAGAGCCTAATGGGGAATTAGAAGAACTACGTGACCCATCAAGTAAAGCAGATCATAAAGGTTCAAAGTAAAATAATGTCAGACCTCATCCCTCCTCTTCCCAAGTTGGTGAAAGC